CCTTTCCTACCCATGTGTGGGTGTCTCTCTCCCTCTTTCTCCTTTCCTACCCATGTGTGGGTGTCTCTCTCCCTCTTTCTCCTTTCCTACCCATGTGTGGGTGTCTCTCTCCCTCTTTCTCCTTTCCTACCCATGTGTGGGTGTCTCTCTCCCTCTTTCTCCTTTCCTACCCATGTGTGGGTGTCTCTCTCCCTCTTTCTCCTTTCCTATCCATGTGTGGGTGTCTCTCCCTCTTTCTCCCTTCCTACCCATGTGTGGGTGTCTCTCTCCCTCTCTCTCCCTTCCTACCCATGTGTGGGTTTCTCTCTCCCTTCCCACCCATGTGTGGGTGTCTCTCTCCCTCTTTCTCCTTTCCTACCCATGTGTGGGTGTCTCTCTCCCTCTTTCTCCTTTCCTACCCATGTGTGGGTGTCTCTCTCCCTCTTTCTCCCTTCCTACCCATGTGTGGGTGCCTCTCTCCCTCTCTCTCCCTTCCTACCCATGTGTGGGTGTCTCTCTCCCTCTTTCTCCCTTCCCACCCATGTGTGGGTGTCTCTCTCCCTCTTTCTCCCTTCCTACCCATGTGTGCGTGTCTCTCTCCCTCTTTCTCCTTTCCTATCCATGTGTGGGTGTCTCTCTCCCTCTTTCTCCCTTCCTACCCATGTGTGGGTTTCTCTCTCCCTTCCCACCCATGTGTGGGTGTCTCTCTCCCTCTTTCTCCCTTCCTACCCATGTGTGCGTGTCTCTCTCCCTCTTTCTCCTTTCCTATCCATGTGTGGGTGTCTCTCTCCCTCTTTCTCCCTTCCTACCCATGTGTGGGTGTCTCTCTCCCTCTCTCTCCCTTCCTACCCATGTGTGGGTTTCTCTCTCCCTTCCCACCCATGTGTGGGTGTCTCTCTCCCTCTTTCTCCCTTCCTACCCATGTGTGGGTGTCTCTCTCCCTCTTTCTCCTTTCCTACCCATGTGTGGGTGTCTCTCTCCCTCTTTCTCCTTTCCTACCCATGTGTGGGTGTCTCTCTCCCTCTTTCTCCTTTCCTATCCATGTGTGGGTGTCTCTCCCTCTTTCTCCCTTCCTACCCATGTGTGGGTGTCTCTCTCCCTCTCTCTCCCTTCCTACCCATGTGTGGGTGTCTCTCTCCCTCTTTCTCCTTTCCTACCCATGTGTGGGTGTCTCTTTCCCTCTTTCTCCTTTCCTACCCATGTGTGGGTGTCTCTCTCCCTCTTTCTCCCTTCCTACCCATGTGTGGGTGTCTCTCTCCCTCTTTCTCCCTTCCTACTCATGTGTGGGTGTCTCTCTCCCTCTTTCTCCCTTCCTACCCATGTGTGGGTGTCTCTCTCCCTCTTTCTCCTTTCCTACCCATGTGTGGGTGTCTCTCTCCCTCTTTCTCCCTTCCTACCCATGTGTGGGTGTCTCTCTCCCTCTTTCTCCCTTCCTACCCATGTGTGGGTGTCTCTCTCCCTCGTTCTCCCTTCCTACCCATGTGTGGGTGTCTCTCTCCCTCGTCTCCCTCCCCGCTCATGTGTGGGTGTCTCTCTCCCTCCTTCTCCCTTCCTACCCATGTGTGGGTGTCTCTCTCCCTCTTTCTCCCTTCCTACCCATGTGTGGGTGTCTCTCTCCCTCGTTCTCCCTTCCTACCCATGTGTGGGTGTCTCTCTCCCTCTCCCTCCCCGCTCATGTGTGCGTGTCTCTCTCCCTCCTTCTCCCTTCCTACTCATGTGTGCGTGTGTCTCTCTCCCTCCTTCTCCCTTCCTACTCATGTGTGGGTGTCTCTCTCCCTCCTTACTCATGTGTGCGTGTCTCTCTCCCTCGTCTCCCTCCCTCTCCCTCCCCGCTCATGTGTGCGTGTCTCTCTCCCTCTTTCTCCCTTCCTACTCATGTGTGGGTGTCTCTCTCTCTCTTTCTCCCTTCCTACTCATGTGTTGGTGTCTCTCTCCTTCCTTCTCCCTTCCTACTCATGAGTGTGTGATTCTCTCCTTCCTTCTCCCTTCCTACTCATGTGTGCGTGTCTCTCTCCCTCCTTCCCTCTCCTGCTCCCTTCATACTCATGTGTGCGTGTCTCTCCCTCCTTCTACTATGTCGCTTTTACTTTTTTCATTTTTGCGAACATATTATTATAACTATTCGAACCTTCTTTTTTCCAATGACATTGTCAATACCAGCAAATATACGAAAAAACTTGATGTTCATCAAATTTAATAAAAGTTGTCTACAAAAACATCACATAAAACTTTGTTATAACAAACATTATTTCTGTCCATTAGTACAACATTTCAATAACCCACACCCAACATTCAAACAACAATTCAAACTTGAAATATACCGATTACATTTCTTTTACATCATTTTTCTCTGCGGTATTTCAATTTCAAGTGGACAGCTTTTTTTTTTCAAGGAAAATTTAAAAAAAAAACTTGTTCGACGATTAGTAAGAGAAACATTAATTACAATATTTGTTCAACAATACTGAATACATGCATTATAAATTATATTCATATTTACAAGACAAAAACTCTAGATATTAGAAAAAAAAATAAAATCATATGATTATAACTATGTGAATTAAAAAGAAATTTCATGAAATTTCCCAAAACCTATAATCTTGCTTCTTAAAAGTTGGTCTGGACCATTTTACTAATTTCAACAATGAAATGGAACCTTTAACAACTAAAAATCTAAATGAAAATGCATGAAGAGGCATGTAATTGTAATGTAATTGCAATGTAAGACCTTGGATGTTTTCTAGACTGCTTTAAAGACTGTGCTTTAAAGACTGTCAAAACTACAGGGCCAGAAGGGATTAGACCACCCAGCCAGGTCACTGATAGGTGGCTATCTCATCAACTCGGCTCTCAACTAACATAAGAAATAAGAAAAAGAGGATCATGGAGCACCAACAGGCACCGATTGGGGAAGTTTTCTATATAGAGGGAGCAAGTAGCTACAAGTAGGACAATGGGGCTTTCAGTTATCCTTGTTAACACTTGGTCCTGTTTGTTGAAGGGACCACCTCAAATTATTCTAAATAATAATGATCCTTTTCATATAGTTTGCACTGTTTTAGGCAGGTCATAGCTGGGGAGTAAACAGTTACCTCACCGGAAATCATAGCAATCATTCAAATCCCCGCGCAATGTAATAGTTCCTGACCATGGAAATTGTATGTGGGAGGTAACTATTTGTAGCTCCATGAATTGACCTTTGAACTAGCATGTCAAAACTATCTCCATCAATACGCTATGAGACTGATTGACTGTAGCCTCAAAATATTCAGTTTGAATCAGTAGCATAGTATTGCAATACGTAAGCAATACTGTCCTATATATTCGGAGGGTTTAAAGACTATATTCATCTCAAGTAATAAAGGTCGATTAATAGTTACTTGCAGATGTACATGTACATAGAAATTATTCTTCTTAATTCTCATTTGATTGAACAGCAATCATGAAAAACTGATCAATTTCCGTTATAGCTGGATCTACACACCTAAAAAACAGAAAAACTGCTACAAGAGAAAACCAAACGTAAAACTGCTACAAGAAAATATAAAATCGTTAAACTACTACAAAAAAAAAAAAAACTTAAAACTGCTCAACGATAAAAACCCAAACGTAAAAACGCTACAAGAGGAGATCAAGCGTCAAACGTCTACAAGAGCAAAAAAAACATACAACTGCTACAAGAGAAAAACAAGCATAAAACTGCTACAAGAGAAAAACAAGCGTAAAACTGCTATAAGAGAAATCAAGCGTCAAACGTCTACAAGAGAAAACCAAGCATAAAACTGATACAAGAGAGAAAAAAAGCATACAACTGCTACAAGAGAAAAACAAGCATAAAACTGATACAAGAGAAAAACAAGCATAAAACTGATACAAGAGAAAACTAAGTGGCTTCTCACCTGCATGGATTCGTTAATACTTCTTGAGATCACTAGCTTGATTACATGCCCTACCACATACATAGGGCTTCTCACCTGTATGAATGCACTTATGTTTCTTGAGATCACTAGCTTGATTAAATGCCTTACCACACTGATGACAAACATAGGGTTTCTAACCTGTATGGATCCGTTTATGTCTTGTGAGATTATTTATTTGATTGAATGCCTTACCACATTGATAACAAACATGGGGCTTCTCACCTGTATGGATGCGTTTATGTTTTGCGAGATAGCCAGCTTGATTAAATGCCCTACCACATTGATCACATACATAGGGCTTCTCACCTGTATGGATGCGTTCATGTTTTGTGAGATCACCAGTTTGATTAAATGCCTTACCACATTGATCACATACATAGGGGTTCTCACCTGTATGGATGCGTTTATGTGTTGTGAGATTACTTTTTTGAGCAAATGCCTTTCCACATTGATCACATACATAGGGCTTCTCACCTGTATGGATGCGTTTATGTCTTGTGAGAACATGTTTTTGATTAAATGCCTTACCACATTGATCACATACATAGGGGTTCTCACCTGTATGGATGCGTTTATGTGTTGTGAGATTACCGGCTTGATTAAATGCCTTACCACATTGATCACATACATAGGGCTTCTCAACTGTGTGGACGTGTTTATGTTTTGTGAGGTTACTTTTTTGATCAAATGCCTTACCACATTGATCACATACATAGGGCTTCTCACCTGTATGGATGTGTTTATGTCTTGCGAGATGTGCTTCTTGATTAAAACCCTTACCACATTGATCACACACATAGGGCTTCTCACCTGTATGGATTCGTTTATGTGTTGTGAGAACATGTTTTTGATTAAATGCTTTACCGCATTGATCACATACATAGGGCTTCTCACCTGTATGGTTGCGTTTATGCTTTGTGAGGTTAATTTTTTGATCAAATGCCTTGTCACATTGATTACATACATGGGGCTTCTCACCTGTATGGATTCGTTTATGTGTTGTGAGAACATGTTTTTGATTAAATGCCTTACCACATTGATCCCATACATTTGGCTTCTCACCTGTATGAATGTGCTTATGTTTCTTGAGAGCACTAGCACGATTACATGCCTTACCACACTGATCACATTTATAGGACTTCTCACCTGTATGTATGTGTTTATGTTTTGTGAGATTACTTATTTGATTAAATGCCTTGCCACATTGATAACATACATAGGGCTTCTCACCTGTATGGATGCGTTTATGTGTTGTGAGATGAGGTTCTTGACTAAATGCCTTATCACATTGATCACATGCAAAGGGCTTCTCACCTGTATGGATCCGTTTATGTGTTGTGAGATAGCCAGCTTGAATAAATGCCTTACCACATTGATCACATGCATAGGGCCTCTCATCTGTATGGATGCGTTTATGTTTTGTGAGATCACCAGCTTGATTAAATGACTTACCACATTGATCACATACATGGGGCTTCTCACCTGTATGGATGCGTTTATGTGTTGTGAGATTACCGGCTTGATTAAATGCCTTACCACATTGATCACATACATAGGGCTTCTCACCTGTGTGGATGTGTTTATGTTTTGTTAGATAGCCAGCTCGATTAAATGCCTTGCCACATTGATCACATACATAAGGCTTCTCACCTGTATGGATTCGTTTATGTTTTGTGAGGTTACTTTTTTGATCAAATGCCTTACCACATTGATCACATACATAGGGCTTCTCACCTGTATGGATGTGTTTATGTCTTGTGAGATGTGCTTCTTGATTAAAACTCTTACCACATTGATCACATACATAGGGCTTCTCACCTGTATGGTTGCGTTTATGCTTTGTGAGGTTACTTTTTTGACCAAATGCCTTGTCACATTGATTACATACATGGGGCTTCTCACCTGTATGGATTAATTTATGTGTTGTGAGAACATGTTTTTGATTAAATGCCTTACCACATTGATCACATACATAGGGCTTCTCACCTGTATGAATGCGCTTATGTTTCTTGAGAGCACTAGCTCGATTACATGCCTTACCACACTGATCACATTCATAGGGCTTCTCACCTGTATGGATGTGTTTATGTTTTGTGAGATTACTTATTTGATTAAATGCCTTGCCACATTGATAACATACATAGGGCTTCTCACCTGTATGGATGCGTTTATGTATTGTGAGATGAGGTTCTTGACTAAATGCCTTATCACATTGATCACATGCAAAGGGCTTCTCACCTGTATGGATCCGTTTATGTGTTGTGAGATAGCCAGCTTGATTAAATGCCTTACCACATTGATCACATGCATAGGGCCTCTCATCTGTATGGATGCGTTTATGTTTTGTGAGATCACCAGCTTGATTAAATGCCTTACCACATTGATCACATACATGGGGCTTCTCACCTGTATGGATGCGTCTATGTGTTGTGAGACTAGATTCATGATTAAATGCCTTACCGCATTGATCACATACATAGGGTTTCTCACCTGTATGGATGCGTTTATGTGTTGTGAGACCACCGGCTTGATTAAATGCCTTACCACATTGATCACATACATAGGGCTTCTCACCTGTATGGATGCGTTCATGTCTTGTGAGATGTGCTTCTTGATTAAAACCCTTACCACATTGATCACATACATAGGGTTTCTCACCTGTATGGATGAGTTTATGTGATGTGAGATTACTTATTTGATTGAATGCCTTACCACATTGATCACATACATAGGGCTTCTCACCTGTATGGATGCGTTTATGTGTTGTGAGATTACCGGCTTGATTAAATGCCATACCACATTGATCACAGACATATGTTTTTTTCCCGTTTTGCATAATTCTTGTTTTACTACATCTGATTTCTCCTTTGATGAACTGTAGAATGTCTTCCTTTGATGCATCTGCCTTTGGGACAATACCATAGTGTCCATGTTTGTACTTGAGATGCTTCGCTAAAAGAAGCGGAATGGCATAGAGTGTTCCACAGTCCCCACATCTATAGAGTTCAGAATCTATTGAGAATGACAAAAAGGTTCATATTGTTATAATTATTTTAATGAAGTCATCTTCATCAGATTCAAAGTTATGTAGTTGATACATGTGTTTGGATTGAATACAATTTGTTTTGAATGAGGTTGAAAACAACAACAAGAAAACTATAACATATTTTTATAAACTCTTTCGTTTAAAATATCTTAGATCACAATATAACATAGCTTATGACAAGCGTGTATCAATGTTCTATAATCAATGACTGTGCTTGAATATTGTCAACGTCTCAAAGGTATCATAATTATATTATGTTAACTGATTACATGAAACATATCAAAAGGCAAAACATTCTTTGAATTCAACAAAACCAAAAAGGGATTGGTATATGATTTGATGTTACATGGTTCATTAGAATACAAATTTGTTACAGAGCTGTAAGCTAACCATCAGGAACATGTTCTTCTTTGTAAGACTTGCGGCTCACTGCTCTCTTTGGGTATCTAGATTGTCTTGGGGATGGTTGGGGTTTCTCCTTTCTCCTGTCTGAAACAAAAATATGCACAAATTGATTTAGTTTATTCCCAATATATCCTTTTCAAAATAATTTAGACTTTCATCTTATAGTTTATTTTGTTGTTGTTAACATGAATCGATCTGTCCTATAACTTCACATATCATTTTGTCTGTCATCCCTCTTGACTCGCAATACAAACAAATATTATACACTTCAATTATTGTGGGATAGGCTGACAACGACCAGACTACTATATGTCAATTTTTTTTCAGTTGTTCCCTTTAGTTTATCTGTTAATGCTATTTCAGTTAATACCTTCAGTGCTTTGGTTGGGGAAGTTGTAACTAGTAATACATGTTGCAAGAAACAGTTATTGTCTATCCAGATCCATTATGGCTCACCCGGCCCCCTCTATCCAGATCCATTATGGCCCACCAATCCCTCTCTATCCAGATCCTTTAAGGCCCGCCCGGCCCCCACCAATCCCTCTCTGTCCAGATCCTTTAAGGCCCACCCGGCCCCCTCTATCTAGATCCATTATGGCCCACCCGGCCCCCTCTATCCAGATCCATTATTGCCCACCCGGCCCCCTCTATCTAGATCCATTATGGCCCACCAGGCCCCCTCTATCCAGATCCATTACGGCCCACCAATCCCTCTCTAGCATATCCTTTAAGGCCCACCTGGCCCCCTCTATCTAGATCCATTATGGCCCACCCGGCCCCCTCTATCCAGATCCATTATTGCCCACCCGGCCCCCTCTATCTAGATCCATTATGGCCCACCAGGCCCCCTCTATCCAGATCCATTATGGCCCACCAATCCCCCTCTATCCAGATCCATTATGGCCCACCCGGCCCCCTCTATCCAGATCCATTATGGCCCACCCGGCCCCCTCTATCCAGATCCATTATGGCCCACCCGGCCTCCTCTATCCAGATCCATTATAGCCCACCCAGCCCCCTCTATCCAGATCCATTATGGCCCACCCGGCCCCCTCTATCCAGATCCATTATGGCCCACCCGGCCCCCTCTATCCAGATCCATTATGGCCCACCAGGCCCCCTCTATCCAGATCTATTATGGCCCACACGGCTCCCTCTATCCAGAACCATTATGGCCCACCCGGCCCCCTGTATCCAGATCCATTATGGCCCAAGCAGCCCCCTCTGTCCAGATCCATTATGGCCCACGCGGCTCCCTCTATCCAGATCCATTATGGCCCACCCGGCCCCCTCTATCCAAATCCATTATGGCCCACCCGGCCTCCTCTGTCCAGATCCATTATGGCCCACCCGGCCCCCTCTGTCCAGATCCATTATGGCCCACCCGGCCACTCTATCCAGATCCATTATGGCCCACCCATGGGGGCGCAGGGGGGCACAGTGCCTCCCCTACTTTTTCAAGTACCTCAAAAGTGCCCCTTTTACTTTGACAAGTGCCCCTATTAATTTTTTAAAATGCCCCTTCCTGTTTCCACCTTTGATAAGTGTCTTAACCCTTCCGATAAGTGTCCCCTTTTCCTCTCATCATTAAACGTGCCCCTAATTTCAAGTGACTAAGAGCAATTTCCCTAAAGCTCGCTCGCTCATATTTACAGATGTTATAATCATGTAACTTATCAAAGGTCTTTTCATTCTTTCGTTATGAGAATGTGCTTATAATTTATAACCCAATCAGGATTGGGTTTTTCCTGTTTATAAGATTTAATTTTTCTCACTGCGACCTCACATATCTTAAAGAATTTCATTGCTCGCTTTGCTCGCTCGCAAATGAATTTTCAGACCATAACACCCAACTGCAATGTATGATGCTTAAGCAATATCTTGTATGATGTTTAAAGAGAAACAAATATTGAAATTATCCCTGATAATGTAATCACAATATAGGGGTATATACCAATGTCTAAAAATTGTATATTTTCGCTTTGAGATTTCCCTTTGAAGGTGCCCTTTTTTTCCAGAAAGTGCCATTTTGTTGGTGCCCCACCCCACTTTGGAAGTCGCTTCGTCGCCTCTGCAATGCCTTAAAGGGATCCGGTAACTTTGTCTTAGATCCTTTAGAAATAATCCGTGATTTAGCTCATGCTGCAATGATAATTATAAACCTTTAGGTCAGTCAGGAACTCCATGACTTTTACAACTTTTGGAATTACAAATTTTGAAAACCGTTCGCCGAACGGTTTTCATAACACTACATTATATTGGGGGAAACAAGTTATTGGTCAAACCGGTCACTCAAAGATTTTTACATTTTTTGAGGCACTTCTTGATCATTTTGAAGCGCGATTTTGTTAGGGCTTCAATATTACACCATATCAACATGTAGGACCGTGTATCTCAGATTTAACATTGTTAAACGATCCCTTTAAAGTAGATATTCATTGATTTTAAAAACTAACTTTATTTCGTTATTGCAAAGTTGAAACTTTGATTCGACAAGGTTATCAAAATTCAATGCTTGGATACATTCGAAGTAATGATTATTATAATTTACAAAACGCTTAAATACAGCCCCGGCATAGCACCTGAAGAGCTGAGATGTGTGAGATCACAGTATGGACATGATCTGCACAAGCAGACGATGTCCCATGACATCTCACACATTTTCAGTGCCTGTGTTTTCATCTTATCTCGAGTTCTTTCTCTTACTTCACTACCGTCAGGCTAAATGTATAATCTATTGCCTCACTACCCGCGCATGGTTTTATTTTGATGACAAATGCAGCGATACAAAAATAAAGGAATCTGTCGCTTGTAAACAAAATATGACGCCATTGTATATTCAGCTGCACACACCGCGGTATGCTCAGCGTTTCAAGAGGGAACAAATGCCGTCCTTAATATCATTTCGGGGGGTTTTCAATTTGAAAGTCTGGTTTCTTTGATTGTATAACCCCTATCCTGTGTATTTACAAGCAAAAGATTTTAGTTATCAGAATCGGGTCATATCCCCTTTTGAATGGTTTGACATGCCTTTACATTTATATACACTAAACTCATTATAATTTGACAAATAATAGCTTTGCAATTTTGTTCATTCTTTATGGGATGTCGTCTGCTTGGGCAGTATTGGTCCATATAGTGACGTCATTAAAACATCGTTATTTTTCCGGCGAAATCTCTCGTATATCCCAGCTGCTATGGAGGTGGTTGTATTTGTATTTTTATAAATCACCCGATATGCAGTAGACCTAAAACGTGTACAATGGCCATCTGTTAGCTTACCAGTTTCTAGTGATACATTAGTTGACATATTTGGGATTTTCTTTGAATTTCACCTTTAACTCTTATCCTGCCATGAGACTGCTAGCGCGCTATTGTTATAGTGCCATGTGCATGCGAGCGAGCCACCGCTACGCTGCTTCGTTCACGCTAGCGCGCATATGTAATAACAGTTATTATTCATGCCCATTGCACCGTGCTGAGTGCTTTTGCAGCGCTATTGAAAGTACCATCGCGTGCATCAGATTATCGGCTTTGGATTACGCGTCTTTGTATACAACAGTCAGATTGGATTATCTCGAGTAATTCAGCGATTTGTTTTTTGTAAAGATTTAAATAACACGCACTTGAACCAACCTTAAAATTAACTTGGCACACAGGAGATTAGCACTGTGGCACTGGGTGCATTGTATGGGTGGCAGCTTAAGAGTTAAAGGTACTATGTCCCATTTGCAGGCCAAACAAATCAAAAATTTTAAATTCCAACAGCATTTGAAAGACAATACTTTTTGCGAACTTCCCTCAAAACGAAAGGGCTAGATAATGTCTTTTTGTGAGAAAATAACGACCATTAGTTGTCATATCTACATACACGTAAGTGATTGCAATTACCTACATGTACGTAATAGTCTGATTTTCAAACTCTCGTACAGAATGGTCGTACGTTTTGTGTTGCACAAAGATTCAATCAGTTTAATTTTGGCAATACAAGTAGTGGGCTATTGATGTAGACAAATGCTCATGTACCTGTTAGTGTTACAGCTCATTTTATGTACATGTTATTCCAAAGAAAAAACATGTCGGTCAGTCACTCAATAGTGTCTGAAAGTGGAGTCTAGAAAGTAAACAGGTTTTCTTGCATTATTTGAATGCTAAGACACTGCTAACGTTTAAATTTCACAGATAGGATATACACGTACATGACATATTCATATAATTCCTGTAAAATCCTACAGAATTTGATGTTGGCTGCAAAAGTGACATATTATCTTTAAGTACCAAAGGGCATGAGCCTGTTGACTTAGTTTCGAACCTGGGACCTCCACGTTACGAGACCACTGCTGCACTTCATCGTTTATCATTACAAATACCATAAATAGTTTTTATAATACAAATAAAAATGTAAGTACCCTAGATCATTTATGAATTGATATATTAGTTTATTATCAATGATAAACCTGTTAACATAATATTGCATAATGGTCTATTTGGGCTTTGGTTTAAAAAGAAAACAGCACCTAGAGTATCTAGTAGTAGTAGTAGTATACTTTATTGGATAAAATGCTAAGCATAAGGCTAATTTACCACTAGGTTCTTTATCACTAGCCTATACATATAATGTGCTATGAAAATTTACATATTGATATTGAGTATTGAGAATCAGCGGATTTCCCCCCTTTTACTTTTGATTTATATGTGCTGCTGAATGTACATTATACATAATTTGATAAAGAATTTCTATGTCAATCAATTAGTTTTATTGCAAAGCAATTTCACTCTATTTAAAATGTGTTTGCTACAGTGTTAATATTTAGACAGATAAACCTAGACCAACCTATTGACTTTTTCTTGGCCTTCTTCTGCTTGCACTCCTCATCCTCGCTATCACTCTCCTCAACGATCTGTTTCTTTCTTCCACGACGAGGTCGCATGAAATCCGGGGGACTGTCGACCTGTAGTCCTGCATATAAAAGACATCCTATTTATTATGTATTCTTTTCTTTTTTTATACACGTTAGCCTCATTAGTACATAAAATTGCTTTGCAAGAGAGCCCTGTATTACATAATACAATTAAATTACATTGTGAAACAATGGGCAACTGGATAAATAGTAAAAAGTACAATACACAATAAAACAAAGCAAGAGCAAAAATTTAGACTGATAATTATGGAAACAAGTATTATGACTTTCAATCACCATTTACAATTTAGCTATTCTAGAAAAAAAGCCGCAAAGGGTTCAATATTCTAAGAAATCTAAGTTTGAACTTTGATATATCTTTAAATGTTCTCTCATCATCAAGATGATTTGATGTAAAGTTTAAATCAATATTTATTTTATAAAAGAAATATGAAATAAAGTATCTTGGAGCATTCATGAATTGAAGTATATTTGAATGAGCTTTCAAATTAATATTGATTAATTATTAATGATAAACTTGTTAAGTTCAACTTTGTTAGGTGTATATCTAGAATTACTGCAGAGCTCATAACAATTGAGTCAGCTGTAGTCTAGATAAAGTATTCTCAGACGAAGAGTCTACATGGTAGTAAGGCTCGGTGTAAAAATGTCAGAGGAAAAAATGTCAGAGGTAAAAATGTCAGAGGTAAAAATGTCAGAGGTAAAAATGTCAGAGGAAAAATGTCAGAGGTAAAAATGTCAGAGGTAAAAATGTCAGAGGAAAAAATGTCAGAGGTAAAAATGTCAGAGGTAAAAATGTCAGAGGTAAAAATGTCAGAGGTAAAAATGTCAGAGGTAAAAATGTCAGAGGTAAAAATGTCAGAGGTGAAAATGTCAGAGGTGAAAATGTCAGAGGTAAAAATGTCAGAGGTAAAAATGTCAGAGGAAAAAATGTCAGAGGAAAAAATGTCAGAGGAAAAAATGTCAGAGGTATAAATGTAAGAGGTATAAATTAAAAACAAAATCATGTGGCAAGTTTGTTATGGTTACACCCGGGTTATTAGGCTTATCGAAAAAGAACAGCGATGGATATTCTGCAGTTGTTATTTCACCGCTGCTTTATTTTCCACTTTCCCATTTAAATTTATTTACCTTTCGGCCCCCAATGGTGACTTTTTGCCCGATTATTGCTGAAGGAAGACGAGGGGGGAGGGTATTTTTCTTCTGGGGCACGGTGACCCGGCTGCTCTCCCCCTTCCTCTTATATAATGCTTTGCTAATAAATCCTTCCGAACAGTGGTCAATGCCGAGGCAGAGCAGGCAGACTAATGGGACATGGTTTCTACTCCGAGTTTCGCGCCTTGCAAGCAATCATCAGGCAATTGATAGCATTCTTAAACATGATTATCCTACAACCTTGGTACAAATACCCCTAAAATAAGACTTAACTCATATCCTGCCATGAGACTGCTAGCGCGCTATTGTTATATTGCTCTGTGCACAAAGCAGAGTAGCGGTGGCTCGCTAGCATGAACGTGGCATTCGATATGCCACGTTCATGCTAGCGAGCCACCGCTACTCTGCTTTGTGCACGCAAGGGCGCATATGTAATAACAGTCATTGTTCATGCCCATTGCACCGTTCCGAGTGCTTTTGCAGCGCTATTGAAAGTACCATCGCGTGCATCAGATTATCGGCTTTGGATTACGCGTCTTTGTATACAACAGTCAGATTGGATTTTCTCGAGTAATTTAGCGATTTGTTTTTTTGTAAAGATTTAATTCACATGCACTTGAACCAACCTTAAAATTAACTTGGCACACAGGAGATTTGTGGCTGGCACAATAGGGATTAGCACTGTGGCACTGGGTGCATTGTATGGGTGGCAGCTTAAGAGTTAACTAATAAAATACAATTAGAATTACTCATGAGTAATTCTTATTATATTGTATTCAGGTATTGTATTAGTTAAGTCTTATTTTGAGCGTATTTACCAAGGTTGCAGAGGAATCATGTAAGAATGCTTTCTTGTCTGATGATCGCTTGCAAGGCGTGAAACTCGGAGTAGCAACCATGCATGTCCCATTAGTCTACCTTATTCAATATTTATATACCGGTATATTATGCTTTTGTAAAAGCACATGGTACTGGTACACTGAGCAAACTTCTGGGGAAAAAGATTTCTAAAATCGAGAAGTTTGGCCATGTTTTTAACTGCGTGGCAATGACTACTATTATATGTAATTCCAATAAATGCATATTTCCGACAATTCCACTTTCTTGTGGGCTTGGTATTTTGATACTCTGAAACAAAGCAGAAAGCCATGTTATCAATGCTAACCGCACCATCACATTCCCGAAGTGCGCGCGTTGCAATAAAATATTGTCGATTACTATTGCGGTATTAAAGAGTCTGGGAGAAAATCAATAAGCAGCTTTGTTACTCCGATACAAAGCAGAAAGCCGCCGATGTTACATCAATTAAAGAGAAGGTTGAGTTCTGGGGAAAGGTGAACAATAATGTGTGAGCATTTGTTATCATTCTTATTATGCAAGTGTGGAAGAATTAACATCAAAGAAAAAAGTTATTCCCTGAAAATCTATTTCAAATGACTTCATATCCCAGATATGACAAGTAACAGCTTTAAAATGAGGCCCGATTTGTATGCCATATGTTTGTGTAGTCCCATATCAATATCTCTGTGTACAGTGCTTGTTACTTTACCAAGAAAGGGCCAACGATTTTATCATTTTGATGACTCCAAAACCTTGCACTACATACCAATACTTAGATGTTTATGCTAGATGATCAACCTTTTCTGATTGCTTCCACACCGTTTCTTTCACAATGCAATCGCAAGACCAGAACTCAACTTTATCTTTAAATGCCAACCGCACCATCACATTCCAGAGAAGCGCGCGCTTTGCAGAGGTTCGGTTTAAATTACATCGTTATTTATAATTGTCGGAGAGTTTAAAAATGGGATGAGCTTCTGAATCGAGACGGTCTTTTACTTTATGGAGCGGGTTTTTAGTTTTCGGAGCGAGTTTTTACTTTTCGGAGCGACTTCTTGATTTTCTTATTTTTACTCCACTTCTTTTGCCGCCATGAGGTGCTAAAGCTTTAGCAGAGTTCGGGGCGCCCAACCCTTATATGTAACTTTTCGTGATTCCTCGTGATTATATGTAACTATTTGTACTAAATGCACTACTCACTTTAACACTTGACTTTTGTCGAGAACTTTCATTTCTTCGTTTGGACTTTGTTCGTCTCTGGAACGTTACACGCGGATAGGTGCAGGCTGGCACCGGCCAAACCGGTCCGTTTCACAAACATTAACACATCAACCGATTCAAAATATCAACAAATGTTAGACATTCATACATATATGCAAGCCTGATCACACAACAAAATAAATTTCAAAATCTATTTTCCACATTGTATTATCCTCAGGAAATGTACGAAATACAACACACAGCCATTTATAAAATTTACATTATGGAAGAAAGGAATATAATAGACTAGCCCATGCAGTAGCAGTACGTCTCGACATTCAGTGTAATAAAAGTGCTGAGACATGATGACGGCACTCATTTTGTTTTGGTGTACCTCTGACATTTTTACCTCTGACATTTTTTCCTCTGACATTTTTACCTCAGACATTTTTTCCTCTGACATTTTTACCTCTGACATTTTTACGTCTGACATTTTTTCCTCTGACATCTTTACCTCTGACATTTTTACCTCTGACATTTTTTCCTCTGACATTTTTTCCTCTGACATTTTTTCCTCTGACATTTTTACCTCTGACATTTTTTCCTCTGACATTTTTACCTCTGACATTTTTTCCTCTGACATTTTTTCCTCTGACATTTTTACCTCTGACATTTTTTCCTCTGACATTTTTACCTCTGACATTTTTTCCTCTGACATTTTTACCTGGCACCGGTAGTACATGGGGCCCATCTATATTCACTAAAAACAAATCCCACTGCATGCAAAACTCAAAGGCCTGATGTAATGTATTCTTCTAAAATTTAAACCCAAGGCTAGGTTTAAGCTTTTGTTTCAAATCGGGTTTAACAATAGAGGTTAGTCTGATGCCTTTGTTTTCCTAATTTAAATGTAATGTTAGACCCGGGATCAGGGTTTAATCAAACCATATCGATTCAAATCAAATCAAATCAACAACAAAAAAGGAATTACTAGAATATTGGCCGATGAGACTTCAGATCCCTGTGATCTTGTTTCCGATGGATGACTACATACCAACTTCAAGCATCATCTCATAATTTTCTTTGATGTTCTTGAGACGAAGTTTCTCATAGTCACTCGTCTCTGCCCATTCCTTGGCTGTTAAGTAAGCCTGGACGGCTGAATAATCATCAGTTGCTGGGAGAGGCATGATGACAATAGGGTGTTACCTGTGGGAAGGAAAAGGCAGAAAAGAAGTCTAATAACAGTCTTTTGAGTTAGACCAGGGGGGTGTTTCACAGAACTTGTCATCGGTGACAAATGACAATTTTTGTTATAAGCTACTGAAATCCTCGCTTCTGATTGGTTATCAGCAGATTTGTCACTGATTTTAGTCATTTGTCATTGAAAAAAGGCTTTGTGAAACAGGACCCAGGGGAGTGTTTCACAAAGACTAACTATATGGCAGGTCATTCATGCCACTGGTTGCTCTCACCATTATGATCTTTAGATAACAATTTTTCCTTCAATAATGATATCCAAAAATGTAAATTCTGTAGATTTCTGACCTTCATTTGTACCGGTAAGTCAGACGAAGAAGGGCTGTGCACAACAGTGTAATGAGGTACCCGAGTACACTCCCAGGCTCACAAGCGAATACTCGAATATTCGGACGCCATGTTTTTTTATAATTTTTTTGAATTTTTTTGAATTTTTTTATTTTTTTATTTTTTTATTTTTTTTATTTTTTTGCCACTACCATACCACTCGGCAGTTTCCCAGGTCCCTCGCCGAAAACGCATGCAATTTTACTTTGAGTTGCAGTTGAAGGCGCCGATTTAATAAGAATAATAAGAGTAAACAATGCTGTTTCAAAAACCAAAGATGGCAGAATAATCCATTGTCCTCAGAGTCCAAACAGAAATCCGGACATTTGGTCCCAGTTTCTGAAAGGTGAGTTTGACGGTGCTCGAGTTGGGAAACATTTTTACCGACGGTACCATGCCAGCGGCCGCTGCTCTCCCTGGCACGGGTAAGCGTGGGCCTGGACATTTTATTTTTTATGCGGCCGAATATTCGGGTACCAGAAATCGTACCCGAGTAGTTGTCAACCGTGCGGGTACTTGAGCATTCGACTACCCGTCGCCAGTGGCGGATCCAGGGGGGGGGGGGCCCGTGCCCCCCCCCCTTGAGAAAAAAATCATGTAAAATCACGTGATTTTTACCTTTTTTTGGGTTGGGCCCCCCCCCTCCCCTGGCGCTCAAGGGGGGGGGGGGGGGGGGGTGCAAATTGAAAAATTTTCGAGGACCAAAAAAAATAAAAAATGTGCTCACTACTCCCCGCCCCCCCCCCCCCCCCCCCCCCCCCCCCACTGAGCGACTTTTCGGTCGGCGCGATTTTCAAATTTTCGGGAGCAAAAAAAAAAAAAAAAAAAATTGTGCTCACTACCCCCCCCCCCCCCCCCCCCCCACTGAGCGACTTTTCGGGCGGCGCGATTTTCGGGAGCAAACAAAAATGAAGGAAGTTGGGCCCCCTCCCCTAAGAAATCCTGGATCCGCGCCTGCCCGTCGCAGCCTTAGTCGAAGGCAAGTAGATGCTATTCAATATAAAATAAGCTTAAAACCGCCCGCTCGCTAAAAATGAAATTGACATCGCCTTAACTATAAATGTGCCCGACACGTCCCGCAGCAAGAAAACTCCGTTAGATACTCATTATTGTGAAAAGTTTATCTATTACTTAAAAGCTTCTGCACCTGGTCCCCCCCCCCCCCCCCAAAAAAAAAAGGATTGCGTCTTTCGCAAAGGTTTATCACTTCTTTTTCTTCCATCAGTGTCTACTGATCGGGGAAAATGCATCTCCCTTCTCAAAATGCTGGCTACGTCCCTGAATAACAACAATAAAACAAAAACAAAAAATAACCCATGAAAGAAATATTGTCGGCGGAGCAAATTGTCGGCGGAGCAAGTAATTGTAGGCGGAGCTGAGCAACTGTCGGCGGGATGTCGGCGGAGCACCTGTCGCCGCTTGTCGCGGAGCAATTGTCGCTTTTTGCGGAGCATTTGTCACCAGAGTAATCGTCGCCGGAGCATGTGTCGGGTTACCGTTAATATGACTCTATGCTTTGCTGTAGGCCTAGTGTGCAGTAGACCTATATGTCGTGCACACAAAGCTGCATTACTATCCTGGCTGTGTATTAAAAGATTCTCAACATTAATTTCAAACACCACTGTACAAAACTCAACTAATTTCACTAAAAATAGGCATTATGCTCTTTAGTGACACCTAAATAACAGTAAAATACAACTTTTTAACTTACCGATGTTAAAAAGAATAATTTAAACATTGTCATTGTAAGTCTAGACTCTGTCAAACTTGCCGATCAGCCACATCGTGTTCATTGTTTTTGCGTGCATCTGTGTTTTGTGTAGACCTATGTATTGACTATTCGTGTGTGCCAATTATTAGCACGTTTGCAGCGCTAGAGTCTAGATGTCGTGCAGATTTTTAGATAATTTAGTTGTACAAGTCTGCATGGTACGAATCTTAGGATTAAATCATGCTTACAGTTACAGAATTCAGATCTTCGAGTTAACTCACCTGAATGAACTGAAGAAATAATGGGCTATTTGAAGCGATGATGATGAACGGTGTGGCCGTGTTGAGATTAGCAGTAGTCTGCCCGTCGCGCGCGTGGCATGCATGATGTTTACTTCGAGAGCCCAGGGTTCAGGTCATAGGTCAGCCATTTAATTATCGTTTGTTGTGTGATCCAGCAGGTCTTTATCTCTTAACAACACCATCCAGTTGTTAGAGGAAGAGAATCTAGCGCTCTTAATAATTAAAGACTATGTACTGTGTTGAGAATGCATGATTTTGGTGGCAATTAAAGTGATGAATGCACCCCCTTTCTCTCATGCACGTGCATGCATATTCTTACGGCCCCTTTCTCCTATATATCTATTTAATTCCTCTTATATTTTCTTACCATCGTTGTTGTTATTAACCATGAACCACCCTCCCCCCCCCCCCTATTCCGTCACATTATGCATCCGAATATGCATTTTCGATTTGAGCGATTTTTAAATTTTTTTTTTACTGCCCAGGTCGAAATCCCAATAGGATCCGATGGCCTATTGGACCATCAGAAACCATTAGAGCTATAATTGCAGTGTCTATTGGTTTCAATAGGGAAAGTGAAATATTGGACCCACAGAAACCAATAGAAAATATCTATTGGACCAACACCAACCCACAGACAAAAATGCTGATGGACCATTAACAGAATAAAACTTCTATTGCATGGACCAACATAATTATGGGTTTCTGTTGGTCAATTAGATATTTTTTATAGCCGGGTTCCTGTTGGTCCATTAGAGATCTTTCTATGGGTTTCTAATAGTCGCATATTCTGAATTCCCTATTGAAACCAATAGGCCTATCGGGTTTTAATGGTTCAATAGTCCATTGGTTTCTATTGGTAAATCAATTGGCAAATTGGCAAATCAATCGATTTTAGCAACTGTCCACCAATCCACCTAAAAAGGGTTATTCTAATCTCAACTGCATTAACTCCATTACCGAAAGATCACTTGAAGTGAGTTTAAGAATATCCTTTATTTAACCAGGGAGGTATAAGTGACACATCCCTGATTTAACTAAAGGATTGTACTACTCTATATAATAAACATACATGATGTTTCTTGGTTATAATCAATATATCTATCTCAAACGTATTATTGTAACATGAACAGACAAATAATCTATTGATCATTAATTGCCGAAAGAAAATAAAAATCACGCATGGCTCTGATCAAGGGCACAAAAGTGTTACAATAATTATGAGGTGAATTTTAAAAGTCAATTATAGACTGTGGCAACATTATTTTTGTAATCTGCAAGCATTATGCAACACATAGCTAAAAAATCAGACCTTAACAAATTGCCGTTAGACGGCAATCAGTAGCCAAATATCACATCATCAAAAATGTTACGTACATAACTCGGTGTCCACTTCATGCTGATATTTCTCTTATGATTTAATATTTTTTCTGACAAAGTACATTAGATGTTAAAACATACCTTAAACAAAACTTAAAACCATTGCCATATCAACTTTTTTCAATTTAGTTATTAGAATATGACCAAAGCAAATGTGGACACCGAGTTGTCTTATTCTCTAGATGCTTTCTCTTTGCCTTATTGTCAGATATGGTTTTGCATTAGTCTAATAACGACTTCAATTGAAGGAATGATGTGTTTCCTGAATGAAACATAATTTGCAATGTGTAAATAGTCTGTAAACTATACTATTTCAGGGCTGAAATGTAAGATTTCTGTACTTAATCGTACATAACTGTGGACACCAAAAGTAAGTAGTTTTACATTCAAATTATAACTTCTTGTTCCTTAAATTCAATAAATGTTTTTTTAAATGAAAATGCAGAAGGGTGCAATTCATGCTGAAAGAAATAAATTGATTCATTTATGATAATTTATTTCAAATTTTGATTGGTAGTAACGTACATAACTCATTGTCTTTTCATAACGGTGTCTTGGTTATGTACATGACATGAAAAAGCTCAAACTGCAATATTTTGTAATATTCTTCTCACCAAATCATGCAGACGTGTGTATGTCTTATACATTGTTTACTACCTTACCATAACAAATTACTAAATATAGGTGGTCTTATTGATGGTGTACGCGTACATAACTCGTCACGTACATAACTCGGTGTCCATTCATTGTTGATTAAATCACACATACAAGTTAAAATGGGGAATCCAATGTTATCAGTGCTCTTCATTCACCTATATACACCATTGCATTATCATTTTGAAAGAATACAATATGTTTTTGTATAGATTCTGTTGCATGGTATGTACATAACTGCAGGACACCAAATATTTTTCCATTTATAGAAATCTGAATATTTTTAAAACCATGACCCAGAATGAAATGATCTAGTTGGAAATCAAAGATAAAGTGAAACTAAACATTATAACATTGCAAGCTTGTAAATGAATCGATTATTATTTTATACACCATTCTTCAGCTAGTAAGATTTGAAATTTGCAGGACACCAAAGTTATGTAGGCCTACATATCACACAAATTGTATCACGTGTAAATGGAATAAGAAAGTAAAAATATATTAATAGGAATTAACTCAACAGAAATGTTAATTATTACATAGATTCTACATCAAGATTTAAACAAATCACAAGTTTTGCATCCCATTAGTAAAAAATATGGTAACCAATTAGTGCATGTTTTGAATGCAACATTAAAAGTGCTGACAGTCCTTTTTTCATCATAAAATTGCTCTAAAATCTTTATTTTGAACTCAATGAAGCTGAAAACTTGTTTGGAGCTTCCACCAATGGTACTTTCTAATATAAAAATGCTAATTTGTGTCTGGGTCTCATGGTTTTGGATAATTGAACAATTTCCAAGTGTTCAATCTAAGTGTACCCTTGATCTGAGCCATGCACATATTATGTGCATTGTCATACGTTACTTAACAAATATTATTATGATAAATGCATTTTCTGTGAAAACGTGTAAAGTAATCATGAAAATGCATGAGATAGATTTAACTGTTAATAATAATAATAATAATAATAATAAATTGATATAGCGCAGCTTTTATACAAAATATATTTAGCTGCGCTGGTGTAGAGCTCCTTTTTACTAAATTCTACAAAATAAGATCTCTCAATTGAACAAATAAGTTTTTTAATTGGATTTGGAAACATTGAGAGATGGAGTGCTTCATATTTCTATTGGCAAGCTATTCCATAGTTTGGGGGCAGCAATATCAAGGCACGGTATACCCGAGAGTTACTTTAGTTTTGCCATGGGGAATCTGAAACAATAATTTATCTGTGGAACTGCGCAGCTGTTGGTTTCTATGGTTTCTATGTTTCTTAATTCTATTGGTCATATTGGTTTCTATTGGTCCCATTGGGTTCTATTGGTCTCATTGGTTTTCTATTGGTCCTATTGATCCTTTCGGTCCATTGGTTTCTATTGGTCGTATTGGTTTCTATGGCTATATTGGTTTATATTGATCCTATCGGTCCTATTGGTTTCTATTGGTCTTATTGTTTTCTATTGGTCCTATTGGTTTCTATTGGTCATATTGGTTTCTATTTCTATTGGGTGCTATTGGTTTCTATTGGATTATGATGGTTTGAATGGTCTCTATTGGATTCAATTATATGGGTCCAACAGAAACCAATATAATTTTTCTAATGGTCTCTATTGGTCTCTATGAGATTTTCTTTAAGGGGGGGGGGGGGGGCCTCTCCATCCCGCCCAGTCCCAATGCTCCACCTATAGCTGATAGACCTAGCTGGGACCCGAATTAAAAAGAGTTGTTTGCAGTCTATATACAGTGTGAGTCAAAAAAAAGTTTACACCTTAATCATCTATGAACAGTAATCTATTATACATCTTATAAAAGAGTGTTTCATCCCAAATCATTTGGTATCATTTTTGTGTGGTATGTGTTCACGCTTGGATGAACAGGAGGCATTGTTTGAAAAATCGCACCCCAACCCCCCCCATGAGCGCGAGGGGGGGGGGGGGGAACCCATCTCCAAAAAAAGGTTAAATTAACGTGTTTTTACACGTTTTTTTCCCTGGGGGGAGGGGGTAAGCCCTTAACCCCCCCCCCCCCCTACCCCCGTAGATCAATTCACCCCGGCTCCCTCACGCTTCCGACTCTTGTGTGCCTCTCTCTCTCTCTCTCCCTCTCTCTCCTTCACCCTTCCTTCTTTACTCATGGCCACAAGTCATGTTCTACAATGTCACTTCTTTTTTTCATTTCCAGGAACGTTTTATTATAATTATTGAGCCTTTGTTCCAGTGACAAAACAAGCAAACACATTAACTTGATGTTCATCAAATTTAATAAAAGTCGTCTTCAAAAACAACTGGTGAACATTCAATGAATCTTCAATATGAAAAACAGCACATAAAAAACATAAGTTAAACATTTCAATAACCAACACAAATTTTTAACATTTCAATAACCAACACAAATTCGTGGCCGCGTTCTACTATAACATTTCTATTAGATTTAAGTTTTAAACTAATTTTGGGGACGGAAAGCAGTTCAAATAAAAAACAAATCTTTAAATGCGAATAATTCGAAAAGTAGTTTCGAAAAGTCGCTTGCACACTAACGCCGTTCTGCAACCTGGGCGACGCGTTAAACATTTTATTTGTCATAACTCTCTCACATAGTACTATGGATATCTTTATCTCCCTCAAACACTATGGATATCTATTTATTGACAAGAAAAATCAAACGTAATATACGTACAAGAGAAAACCCAAGCGTACTGCTACAAGAGAAAACCAAGCGTAAAACTGCTACGAGAGAAAAACCAAGAGTAAAACTGCTAAAAGAGAAAACCAAGGGTAAAACGTCTACAAGAGTAAACCAAGCGTAAATTCTGCTATAAGAGAAATAAATTGAAACACTAACAAGCTTGTTGGTTTCTTGTTAGAATTTTAAGAATGTGCAGCTGTTAATATGCAACATTATCAACATACCAACTTCTTTCAGTCATATAGTACATGTTATGTAAGCATACATTATTTGTACTGTACTTTATTGAATAGAACAATTTCTTGAAGGGACTTTGTAACATTGTTCAGTTGAGAGAAAATGGTGCTAATAAGGTAGTGACTTCAATGCTAGATGTACAATTAAAGATAATCTGAAAGTATGAGTGAAAACCGAACATTATTAATGATAAAATTAGGAAAAACTAATCTGATCGATTCCTTAATTCTCCCGACTCTATTGTTACAATTTAATTACATTTTAAGTGAATGTAAATCGTCACAAAGCAATGAATTGGCTCTATATACCATTCCAGACATGTAAGTGTTGAAAGTTTTTAAAAGCCTGTCTCGATCATGTCTAAATTTCATGGAACAATGGATGGGAAAATTCAAAGAATGGTTGGGAGAATTTATTGTTAATCACTGTTAGATGGTGTTGCACAATGACGCCTTCAAAGAAAACCATAAATATCTTTGTGGTTTGAGAATTTTCTCCGGATTTTTTGGCTGTTACTGGGTAAGTAAAGTAGAAGGAGTAACATTTCATACAAAATGTACACAGTTTTTTAATCAACCCTCAACAATGTTACCGCGAGTCACTTTAATGTAACCAAGTTAATAATTAAAGATAAAGGTGAGTTCTGGTCATCCGATTGCATTGTGAAAGAAAAGGTGTGGCATGGATCAGAAAAAGTTGATCATGTAGCATGTAAGTATTGGTGTGAATAGCTGTAAATTTCTGGAGTACGTCATCAAAATCATAATAAATTTGGCCCGGTCGTGGTAAAGTAACAAGCACTGTTCACATAAAGATGTATATGGGACTACTCAAATGGTGTCGGGGCTACTAGCTAACCTTGATTTCCTAATCTTTCTATGCATGCTCATTACTCAGCCAGTATACATTTTCTACCAAAATTGTTTATAAAATGACATTTATTTGTAGTCTTGAACATTCAGTGTAAGTTTCGTTCAATTCTCCATTTTCTTTTTGTTGTTGCAGAACTCACCTTTATCTTTAAAGGTAATACAAAGTTTTGGGAAATTTGAAAATTGGGTGGAAAGTTTACAATTTTGATATATTTGGATGCCCATGTAGATGTATTATAAGCACAAGAAAAATTAGCCCCTAAAACACTTCTCCTTTCGAGAAAAATTGAATATAAAAATTTACCGGTGCTCCCGGTAAGTTTTGATGAATTTCAAATAGCGCCTACGGCCATATATGTAGTTGTGATATATAATTTCTAAACGGGAATAGCTAATTGGTCGATTTTAGTCATGAGAAAATTGTTTCAGGCTTAATTAATATCTTGACCTTGAGAGGGAGCTATATAACATAAAGATTTCATAACTTTCGACTCGATTTTAACCGCAACAACGATCCCTGAATATGTCCATTTGAACCAAATTCATGACCCCATCCCAAAACTTTGTATCATTACCTTTAAGTGCCTTAATATGAATTATTTCATTCACCCGTTACAAATAATTGTAATTCAGAGGTCAGCATTCAAATTGCATATATTACGTGTTGTCAGGTAGGGCCAGCTATAATTTGTTATCCTAATCCTACCTAGCAACAACTTATGTATGCAATTAGAATTTTGACTATTGAGATACATTTAATCCTGATTTGGTTACACGAATCTCAAGTCCGTACAATTGAGCACATACATATACATACCGTAAACAACTGGGTTATTCATATAATCTGAATAAAGTTATATCAATCTATTCAGTATAAATAACCCTACGAATTTCATTTTAAATATACAATAACGATATTCATTTTGTTTATAGGCAGAGGTCATTTTTCTTTGTAAATTTTATAACCAGAATTTATTTCAACCTCGTAAGGCAAATTACTGCTTCTAAGTTATTCATTTACATTTGATTTGTTTAACAATTTTAATAAGTAACGTTTCATCCTTTTTCTTCTTCATTGGAAGCCTTCCCATTTTTTCTCGATTGATTCTGCATTTCATTTGCTTTATGGTTGTACTTTACTCAAGTTTATTCAAGATTCTTATTGCTCTGGGAGAATTTTCCTTAATATTTCTTTTTGTGTTTCCTTAAATTTGATGAATCACCATATGCCTTACCACATTGATCACATATAAATGGCTTCTCACCCGTATGCATCGTTTATGTTTTGTGAGATCACTAGCTTGATTAAATGCCTTACCACATTGATCACATACATAGGGCTTCTCACCTGTATGGATGCGTTTATGTTTTGTGAGATAGCCAGCTTGATTACATGCCTTATCACATTGATCACATACATAGGGCTTCTCACCTGTATGGATGCGCTTATGTTTTGTGAGATTACCTATTTGATTAAATGCCTTACCACATTGATCACATACAAAGGGCTTCTCACCTGTATGGATGCGTTTATGTTTTATGAGATTAGGTTCATGATTAAATGCCTAATGACCACATTGATCACATACATAGGGCTTCTCACCTGTATGGATGCGTTTATGTGTTGTGAGATAGCCAGCTTGATTAAATGCCTGACCACATTGATCACATACATAGGGCTTCTCACCTGTATGGATGCGTTTATGTCTTGTGAGATTACTGGCTTGATTAAATGCCTCACCACATTGATCACATACACAGGGCTTCTCACCTGTATGGATTCGTTCATGTGCTGTGAGAACATGTTTGTGATTAAATGCCTTACCACATTAATCACATACATAGGGCTTCTCACCTATATGGATGCGTTTATGTATTGTGAGATAACCGGCTTGATTAAATGCCTTGCCACATTGATCACATACATGGGGCTTCTCACCTGTATGGATGCGTTTATGTCTTGTGAGATTACTGGCTTGATTAAATGCCTCACCACATTGATCACATACACAGGGCTTCTCACCTGTATGGATTCGTTCATGTGCTGTGAGAACATGTTTGTGATTAAATGCCTTACCACATTGATCACATACATAGGGCTTCTCACCTGTATGGATGCGTTTATGTCTTGTGAGATTACTGGCTTGATTAAATGCCTCACCACATTGATCACATACACAGGGCTTCTCACCTGTATGGATGCGTTTATGTTTTGTGAGATCACCAGCTTGATTAAATGCCTTACCACATTGATCACATACATAGGGCTTCTCACCTATATGGATGCGTTTATGTTTTGTGAGATAGCCAGCTCGATTAAATGCCTTGCCACATTGATCACATACATAGGGCTTCTCACCTGTATGAATGCGCTTATGTTTCTTGAGACCACTAGCTTGATTACATGCCTTACCACATTGACCACAAACATAGGGCTTCTCACCCGTATGGATGCGTTTATGTGTTGTGAGATGAGGTTCTTGATTAAATGCCTTACCACATTGATCACATACATAGGGCTTCTCACCTGTATGGATGCGTTTATGTGATGTGAGATTACTTATTTGATTAAATGCCTTACCACATTGATCACATACATAGGGCTTCTCACCTGTATGAATGCGCTTATGTTTCTTGAGACCACTAGCTTGATTACATGCCTTACCACATTGACCACAAACATAGGGCTTCTCACCCGTATGGATGCGTTTATGTGTTGTGAGATGAGGTTCTTGATTAAATGCCTTACCACATTGATCACATACATAGGGCTTCTCACCTGTATGGATGCGTTTATGTGATGTGAGATTACTTATTTGATTAAATGCCTTACCACATTGATCACATACATAGGGCTTCTCACCTGTATGGATGCGTTTATGTGTTGTGAGATCACCAGCTTGATAAAATGCCCTACCACACTGATCACATACATAGGGCTTCTCACCTGTATGGATGCGTTCATGTCTTGTGAGATCACTAGCGTGATTAAATGCCTTACTACATTGATCACAAACATGGGGTTTTTCCCTGTTTTGCATAATTCTTGATTTACTACATCTGATTTCTCCTTTAATAAACTGTAGAATGTCTTCCTTTGATGCATCTGCCTTTGGGACAATACCATAGTGTCCATGCTTGTACTTGAGATGCCTTGCTAAAAGAAGCGGAAAGGCATAGAGTGTTCCACAGTCCCCACATCTATAGAGTGCAGAATCTATTGAGAATGACAAACAGGTTCACATTGTTATAATTATTTTAATGAAATCATCTTCATCAGATTCAGAGTTATGTAGTTCTTACATGTGTTGGGATTATATATAATTTATTTTGAATGAGGCTGGAAACAACAACAAGAAAACGATAACGTCTTTTTATAAACTCTTTCATTCAAAATATCTTAGATCACAATATAACATTATGACCAACACAATGCCATTTATAACCAAACTATTCTATTTATAATATCTTAGATCACAATATAACATAGCTTATGACCATCGTGTATCAATGTTCTATAATCAATGACTGTGCTTGAATATTGTCAACGTCTCAACGGTATCATAATTGATTACATGAAACATATCAAAAGGCAAAACATTATTTGAATTCAACAAAACCAAAAAGGGATTGGTATATGATATTAGGGACACTGATTTTCTGTTTAAAAAAATTGCCTTTTCCATTTCAGAAAATCTGGATTTCCGTTTCAGATGGGCTGAAAAACGGAAATTCAGTTTTGCCAAAGACTTTGTACACATGAAAAAACTAAATTTGAACTATAACATGAACTTGTAGGGTACAAATGTTCTATTAAAGCCGCCACCTTTGACAAGCCACTGATAACCACTCAAAAACATACGTACGGGACTGGATAAACTTGATGCAAATACTAGTGAAAATATAGACCCCTAGTAGTCTAGGGTGTCTGAACGATTTTTCAATTTTCAATTTGGGATCATTTTTCACCATTTTTGTTGGATATTGGAATAAAAAGTGTACCGTAATCAGAATAATACCTTTCAAATTTCAAGACTCACCGATTTTTTTATCAAAGATACAGCCCCTCAAAAAACTGTGCAATATTTATAGCATTTTGGTCAGAATGGACAAAAAAAAGTGGTTCATGCAGAGTTATAATTTCTGCTCAAATTCTGCACAGCACGATATGCAAAGCGTGGAGTAGGGTATTTTCAAACTGTTGGGGCTAGTGATCCCTTGGGACTAGAGAAAAAAAATAAGTGCATGGATATATACTTTACAGCTGGCCCAACTTATCCCTCGGGGGAGCACTTCGTGAAATATTCGAGTTACCATGGAAACAATGTTTAAATGTAAAGACCAGTATTGGAAACGCCCCAATTTCAAAAAATGAAATGGAAGCTTTTATTACCAATCATGTGAAAGAATATGTTTTGAATATTACATGACGATAACAATTTTGACGGGAAACGGCCGCCTACTAATTGATATATTTGGTAAATTAGTATATCTCTTGCCTGTTGAGAGATACACATGCATGTGTCGCGGACGTGTGTGTAGTCCAATATAAATCTTTCTGTGTACAGTGCTTCTAACTTCATGAAGACTTGGCCAAATTTCTTATAATTTTGATGATTCCAGAACCTTGCAGTACATCTATGCTAGATGATCAACCTTTTCTGATCGATTTCACAACGTTTCTTTCACTATGCAATTGCATGATGACCATAACTGGTCTTTAGCTTTAAACCGCTGTTTTGAGCGAGATATTTTTTGGAATTATAGGGGTGGCCCCCTATGGGGAATATGGTGAAAAACCTGCGCTTTCATATGACACCTCACTTATTGAGTATCACCTTCAGGATCACGAGCGGTATTGGTTTGAACCTCATTTTGGTAATAAAAACATCGACCAATTTAGCATGAGCGCGCAATGCACATGGACTGCATAGGGATGTGTGCAATCTCTATGGGAAGGATTTTAGCACACAAAACTGAGTGCACGATCAGACACCCTACCCCTAGGGTCTAGGCTAGACCTACGAAAAATTGTCAAATGTCTAGATTCACCAACTTCAAACTTAGACAAGCAGACTAAAGTTAGAGGAATGTGTCAGAACACGACATATTCCTGACGGAACGATACAGTATTATCGACGTCGACGAAAACATTTCAGTCTTGGCTGTCGTGTCACCGATCCGCGATCGATCTATTTTAGGCGCACATGCCAGCCCCTTTTTCGAACTGTACAACAGCGTGTGCGTACAATATCGCCGCACTTAGCGCCCGCTGCTGGCGTGTGTGTGCCTAGTATTATGTCTACGTAATACTAGCATCGAATTTCAAGTACTAGGCGCACACGCCAGTGCCCCGAACGATCTCTATTGGTCCAGCGAAACAAAATGGCAGCGCCCTGTCTCCTAGAATCTGATGAATATTGCTAAATATTCGAAATTATTAACCATGATTTTAGGCCCGATATTTTTTCACTGCATAATGAATCACAAAAATAGTGCAAGTTGTACGATTTTTGAGGCAAAAGGGGTTTTCCGCGACATTCCGTTCGAAATTGCATGTTCCGTTTAAAATGGTGAATTCCCTCCGTTTTCCGTGATCGTGGAAAATCAGTGTCCCTATATATGATTGATGTTACATGGTTCATTAGAATACAAATTTGTTACAGAGCTGTAAGCTAACCATCAGGAACATGTTCTTCTTTGTAAGACTTGCGGCTCACTGCTCTCTTCGGGTATCTAGATTGTCTTGGGGATGGTTTGGGTTTCTCCTTTCTCCTGTCTGAAATAAAAATATGCACAAATTGATTTAGTTTATTCCCAATATATCTATTATTTATTTTATTTTGTTGTTGCTAACTGCCAGCCCTGGCATGAATCCGTCTGTCCTATAACTTCACATATTATTTTGTCTGTCATCCCGATCCAGATCCATTATGGCCCACCCAGCCCCCTCTATCCAGATCCATTATGGCCCACCCTGCCCCCTCTATTCAGATCCTTTATGGCCCACCCGGCCCCCTCTATCCAGATCCATTATGGCCCACCCGGCTCCCTCTATCCAGATCCATTATGGCCCACCCTGCCCCCTCTATTCAGATCCTTTATGGCCCACCCGGCCCCCTCTATCCAGATCCATTATGGCCCACCCTGCCCCCTCTATTCAGATCCTTTATGGCCCACCCGCCCCCTCTATCCAGATCCATTATGGCCCACCCGGCCCCCTCTATCCAGATCCATTATGGCCCACCCAGCCCCCTCTATCCAGATCCATTATGGCCCACCCTGCCCCCTCTATTCAGATCCTTTATGGCCCACCCGGCCCCCTCTATCCAGATCCATTATGGCCCACCCGGCTCCCTCTATCCAGATCGATTATGGCCCACCCTGCCCCCTCTATTCAGATCCTTTATGGCCCACCCGGCCCCCTCTATCCAGATCCATTATGGCCCACCCTGCCCCCTCTATTCAGATCCTTTATGGCCCACCCGGCCCCCTCTATCCAGATCCATTATGGCCCACCCGGCCCCCTCTATCCAGATCCATTATGGCCTACCCAGCCCCCTCTATCCAGATCCATTATGGCCCACCCTGCCCCCTCTATTCAGCTCCTTTATGGCCCATCCGGCCCCCTCTATCCAGATCCTTTATTGCCCACCCGGCCCCCTCTATCTAGATCCATTATGGCCCACCCGGCCCCCTTTGCCATTTTCCTGATTGTTGGGGAACACGTAATGATGCATGATGCCCCGCCAGTTTGTGACTATTTTTATTTTGAGTCTTGCGCATCCTTTAAATCAATTTTTTTGAAAAACTGACCTACCGTTACAAAGTCATGTAATCTTTTGTCTTGTCAGCTCCAACATTGCTAATTTTCGTGATTTTTTATAGAAAACATGTATAAATATCATTAACCCTATAAAGAGATAAAACAATGGTTATTTGGTCTTGTTTATAGTTTGAGGTGACTTTTCTCTTTCTCTCTATTTTTCTCCTGATTTATAAATGCAATGCTGAATGTACATTATACATAATTTGATACGGAATTTCTATGTCAATCAATTAGTTTTATACAAAGCAATTTCACTCTGTTTAAAATGTGTTTGCTACAGTGTTAATATTTAGACGGATAAACCTAGACCAACCTCTTGACTTTTTCTTGGCCTTCTTCTGCTTCCACTCCTCATCCTCGCTATCACTCTCCTCTACGATCTGTTTCTTTCTTACACGACGAGGTCGCATGAACTCCGAGGGACTGACCTGTAGGCCTGCGTTAAAACGATATGTTTGAAATTTGGTTTATTCTTGAATGGTGGTGGTGGTGTTAGTATTAGTAGTATACTTTATTGGATAAAATGCTTAGCATTAGGCTAATCTACCACTAGGTTCTTTTTACCACTATGTCTATACATATATAATGTGCTATGTAGGCACGCAGGAAGCAGTTTGAGATTGGGGGGGGGGGGGCAAACATTCCAGGGGGCTCACCTTAAAGGGGCAGTGACGTACCGAGCAAAACGTTTGGAAGGGGGGGGGGCAGAAGAAAAATCTGCATCACCACCACTCTTACACGTTACATGCAGGCCCCACGGAACGTTTTTCAAAGTAAAATATTAACGATCAGGTAGAGCGTAAATTGGCGTGGGGTCCTGGGCCTGAGCCCCGGTAGGGGTCCAGGGAGCAGAGCCCCCGAAAGCTCTAGGGTTTTAGGCGTTTAATTACGGTCAGATGAGCATACAAGGGGACCGCCTTAGGGCCCTTGGTGGGCTCCAGGGGGCAGAGCCGCCGAAAGCTCGGGGGTTTTAGGTATTTAATTACGGTCAGATGAGCATACAAGGGGAACGCCTTAGGGCCCTTGGTGGGGTCCGGGGCAGAGCCCCCGTAGGCTCTTGGGTTTTAGGCATTTAATTACGGTCAGATAAGCATATTTTGATACCTCATTTGTGACATTGGCAGGTCACTTGTTTTTTTTTTCTCTCTCTTTCTTTCTTTGTCTCTGTTACAAACTTTTTCAAAAAGTGAGGGGGTCTCAAGCCCCCAAGCCCGGCCGTTCTGCAGACCCTGACATAAAGGCTTCTAAATAAGCATATTTTTCGCCCGACTGTAAACTTGGGAAATTCTAATTTTCCAACAAACTCATAAAAAGGTGCGACTTACAATTTTTTTTTAGAAAAATACCGGAAAATCATGTCATTTCAGCAACATTTGTAAATCACTGGTATCTATCAATATTATAAAAACCTCCATTGATAAATATAGGTAGCATACGCAATGTTTAGGAAATTTAATTCCTGTTAACTTTCATTTTCTTTGAATAGAATTGTATACGTCATTTAATTCAGGTTCTTATTATTGTTTAGTTCTTTTGGGTTAAAAATACAAACCCTCTTTACCAGGACCCTTTTTTTTTTTTTGAGGGGGGCGTTTTTGGGGGGCAAATTTGCATTTTGCCCCCCACTTTCGGCGCATATGGTGCTATGAACATTTACATATTAATATTGAGAATCAGCAGACTTTTTCTCTTTCTCTCTATTCTTCTCCTGATTTATAAATGCAATGCTGAATGTACATATACATTATAATTTGATAAAGAATTTCTATGTCAATCAATTAGTTTTATACAAGGCAATTTCACTCTGTTTAAAATGTGTTTGCTACAGTGTTAATATTTAGACAGATAAACCTAGACCAACCTCTTGACTTTTTCTTGGCCTTCTTCTGCTTCCACTCCTCATCCTCGCTATCACTCTCCTCTACGATCTGTTTCTTTCTTCCACGACGAGGTCGCATGAAATCCGGGGGACTGTCGATCTGTAGTCCTGCATATAAAAGACATCTTATTTATTATTCATTCTGTTTTTTTATACATGGTCTCTTCAGTACATCAAATTGCTTTGCAAGAGAGCCCTGTATTACATAATACAATTAAATTACATTGTGAAACAATGGGCAACTGGATAAATAGTAAAAAGTACAATACACAATAAAACAAAGCAAGAGCAAAAATATAGACTGATAATTATGGAAGCAAGTATTATGACTTTCAATCACCATTTACAATTTAGCTATTCTAGATAAAAAGCCGCAAAGGGTTCAATATTCTAAGAAATCTAAGTTTTGAACTTTGATATATCTTTAAATGTTCTCTCATCATCAAGATGATTTGATGTAAAGTTTAAATCAATAGTAATTTTATAAAAGAAATATAAAATAAAGTATCTTGGAGCATTTATGAATGGAAGTATATTTGAATGAGCTTTCAAATTAATATTGATTAATTATTAATGATAAACTTGTTAAGTTCAAATTGCATAGTTGTCGATTACACTTAGTTGTAAAAAGAAAGTAACCAGACCTAGAAATACAAATCTGAAATTGAGGTTTACATTTTAAATATATAGATTCAAACTCTAGATACATTTTAGGTCCAGTGCTATATCCGGTCTAACTTTGTTAGGTGTAGATCTAGAATTACTGCAGAGCTCATAACAATTGAGTCAGCTGTAGTCTAGATAAAGTATTCTCAGACGAAGAGTCTACATGGTAGTACATGGGGCCCATCTATATTCACTCAAAGCAAATCCCACTGCATGCAAAACTCAAAGGCCTGATGTAATGTATTCTTCTAAAATTTAACCCAAGGCTGGGTTTAAGCTTTCGTTTGAAATCGGGTCAGTCTGATGCCTGTTTGCCTAATTTAAATGCAATCTTAGACCCGGGATCAGGGTTTAATCGAACCATATCGATTCAAATCAAATCAAATCAAATCAACAAAAAGGAATTAGTAGAATATTGGCTGAAGAGAATTTAGATCCTTGTGATCTTGTTTCCGATGGATACATACCAACTTCAATCATCATCTCATAATTTTCTTTGATATTCTTGAGACGAAGTTTCTCATAGTCACTGGTCTCTGCCCATTCCTTGGCTGTGAAGTAAGCCTGGATGGCTGAATAATCATCATTTGCTGGTAGAGGCATGGTGGCAATAGGGTGTTACCTGTGGGAAGGAAAAGGCGGAAAAGAAGTCTAATAATAGTCTTTTGAGTTAGACCAGGGGGTGTTTCACAAAACTTGTCATCTGTGACAAATGACAGTTTTTGTTATAAGCTACTGAAATCCTCGCTTCTGATTGGTTATCAGCAGATTTGTCACCGATTTTAGTCATTTGTCATTGAAAAAGGCTTTGTGAAACAGGACCCAGGGAGTGTTTCACAAAGACTAAAATCGACTTTAAGTTGGACTTAACTATGGCAGGTCATTCATGCCACTGGTTGCTCTCACCATTATGATCTTTAGATAATAATTTTTCCTTTAATAAAGATATTCAAAAATGTAAATTCTGTATATTTGTGACCTTCATTTGTACCGATAAGTCAGACGAAGAAGGGTCGAAGGCAGGTAGATGCTACTCAATGTAAAATAAGCTTAAAACCGCCCGCTCGCTAAAAATGAAATTGACATCGCCTTAAAGATAAACTTGAGTTCTGGTAAAAAAAGAAAATGAATTCTCACAGAATCTTAAACGAAACTTACACTGAATGTTCAAGATTACAAATAAATGTCATGTGCCAAACAATTTTGGAAGAAAATGTATACTGGCTGAGTAATGAGCATAGAAAGATAAGGAAATCAGGGTAGTACTAGCCCCCACACCATTTGTGTTGTCCTATATACATCTTTCTGTGTAAGTGATTGTTATTTTACCAAGACTCTGCCAAATTTATGATGATTTTGATGACTCCAGAACCTTGCATTACACACCATTACTTACATTCTATATGATCAACTTTTCTGATGCATTCCACACCTTTTCTTTCACAATGCAATCGCATTACCAGAACTGAAGTTTAACTTAACTATGAATGTGCCCGACACGTCCCGCAGCAAGAAAACTCTGTTAGATACTCATTATTGTGAAAAGTTTATCTATTACTTAAAAGCTTCTGCACCTGCTCTCTCCCCCCCCCCCCCCCCCCAAAAAAAAAGGATTGCGTCTTTCGCAAAGGTTTATCACTTCTTTTTCTTCCATCAGTGTCTTCTGATCGGGGAATTAAAACGCATCCCCCTTCTCAAAATGGTGGCTACCCCCCTGAATAACAGCAACAAAACAGCAACAAAAAAATAACCCATGAAAGAAATATTGCCGGCGGAGCAAAATGTCGGCGGAGCAATTAATTGTAGGCGGAGCAACTGTCGGCGGGATGGCGGCTGAGCAACTGTGACTGTCGCGGAGCAATTGTCGCTTTTTGCGGAGCATTTGTCACCGGAGTAATCGTCGCCGGAGCATGTGTCGGGTTACTGTTATGACTCTATGCTTTGCTATAGGCCTAGTGTGCAGTAGATCTAGACCTATATATGTCGTGCACACGTAGCTGCATTACTGGCTGTGTATTAAAAGATTCTCAATATTAATTTCAAACACCACTGTACAAAACTCAACTAATTTCACTAAAAATAGGCACTGTGCTCTTTAGTGACACCTAAATAACAGTAAAATACAATTTTTTTAACTTACCGATGTTTAAAAGAATAATTTAAACATTAAAATTGTAAGTCTAGACTCTGTCAAACTTGCCGATCAGCCACATCGTGTTCATTGTTTTTGCGTGCATCTGTGTTTTGTGTAACGTGTAGACCCATGTATTGACTATTCGTGTGTGCAATTGTTTGCAGCGCTAGACTCTAGAGTCTAGATCTAGATGTCGTGCAGATTTTTAGATAACTTAGTTGTACAAGCCTGCATGGTACGTATCTTAGGATTAAATCATGCTTACAGTTACAGAATTCAGATCTTCGAGTTAACTCACCTGAATGAAGAAATAATAGCTATTTGAAGTGATGATGAACGATGCGATGTGGCCGTGTGGAGATTAGCAGTAGTCTGCTCGTCGCGCGCGTGGCATGCATGTTTACTATACGAGAGCCCAGGGTTCAGGTCATAGGTCATATAGGTTGACCAATTAGGTGCGAGGGCTGTGATTTGTGAATAATTAATAGCCATTTAATTATCGTTTGTTGTGAGGTCAGTATTTATCCTAGCCTATAATCTAGGCGGAGTGCCGAGCTTTTTTCTTTGCTGCTAGACTAACCTTAAGCAGAACGTCTGATACGGCGAGACTACGAACCGTGAGTCACGGTTCGTAGTCTCGCCGTATCAGACGTTCTGCTTAAGGTTAGTCTAGCAGCAAAGAAAAAAGCTCGGCACTCCGCCTAGATTATAGGCTATATTTATCCCTGAATGAAGAAATAATAGCTATTTGAAGTGATGATGATGAACGGTGTGGCCGTGTGGAGATTAGCAGTAGTCTCCTCGTCGCGCGCGTGGCATGATGTTTACTTCGCGACTAGAGCTAGCTCAGGTCAAAGGTCGACCAAAGAGGTGCGAGGGCTGTGATTTGTGAATAATTAAGCCATTTAAGTATCGTTTGTTGCGAGGTCGGTATTTATCTCTTAACAACATCATCCAGTTGTTAGAGGAAGTTTAGAATGCATGATTTTGGTATCAAAGTGATGGCATTATATGCACCCCTTTCTCCCTCTGCATGAATTGGCACCGGCCGCCTCTTATGCCTCTTCTAATTCGTACCCCTTAATTTCTCCTTTATCTCTTTCCTCTTATCTTATCATCGTTATTGTGATTAACTATGAACCATCCCCCCCCCCCCCATTCCGTCACTTTATCCTTCCGAATATGCATTTTCGATTTGAGCTATTTCTTTTCTTCTTCTGTGTTTAAAATGTGATGCATGAAATTTTCTTTAAAGGGGGTGGGGGCGGGAGCCCCTCTCCGCCCCCCGCCCAGCCCCGTCTATAGCTGATAGGCCTATAGCTGCATGGACCCGGATTACAAAGTGTTAATCGCGATTGATCCAAACCAATCGCAAGTCCTCCAATCAATCGCAAGTTTGCACCGAGTCTCTATCTACAGATTTTCGATTTGCTATCTATATATCAATAAAATAATCAAATAAGTTGCGATTGATATCAAATCTTTGTAAGACGGGACCCTAGGTCATGCCAGAACACTATACTGAAATTATTGAATTGAAAGAAATAACAAAATATTCCAAAACAATATATATATGTTTCATCTTTATTCAGCGTAATAAACAAAGAAGTATAAACATTTGAACCCAGGTCCATGACACAATGTAGTATACAATACACAACTGTGTCACTGGCAGGGTATACAAGACAAGTACAACATGTACAACATAGGAAACATATAAAGCATATATAGAAAGTGGTTAACAACATAATGGAAAGAGAAGTACGAAGTTGAGATTCCTCAACGGTAATAGGCAATCCGATTCTATCTTTGGCGATCTTAAATACCAGTATAAATAGTAAAAATGTAACCATGAATAAGTGCATTATGCTTGATTTTGCGACAATGCACTAGTTTCTCTGGCATGTATTTTATTACCATGATTTTGATAATAATACTAGTTTGTTTTTCTATATACTCGGATAAATATTATTTACATCGAACGTAAAATGATATACATGGAGTACTTAAATATTAAATGGTTTCTTAAATATAAACATTTTTTGATTTGTTCATAGTAAAATTGCATGGTATATAAGTTCATAACAGGTATTGCATCGTTGTAAACATCATTCGAGCATTGTCGTATTATAGTTATACATATTTTGAAGAAAAATAATGAAATGAAAGTACCTCTTCGTACAATAACAGTGCATGTAGTACATGCACTGTTATTCCTCCTTGTATGATTAATTGTATACCAAATGCAATGACCCTTTAAATAGGATGGGTTCTTCAACCTGTTCAGGGGAGGGGGTGACTATTTAAGCACCTGGGAGTCAGAGACTTATATTATTTACACTGAACGAAGAGTGATATACATGGAGTATTTACATATTAAATGGTTTCTTAAATATAAACATTTTTAGATTTGTTCATAGTAGAATTGCATGATATATAAGTTCATAACAGGTATTGCATCGTTGTAAACATAGCATTCTCGTATTATAGTTCTACATATTTTGAAGAAAAGTAAATAAATAAAAGTACATCTTCCTCGTACATGCACTGTTATTCCTCCTTGTAAGATTAATTGTATACAAAATGCACTGACCCTCTATTATAGGACGGGTTCTTCAACATGTTCAGGGGAGGGGGGTGACTATTTAAGCACCTGGGAGTCAGGGACGGACATGTACCCCGTGTCAGTCCACTGTGGTTCATTTCTGAGCTTGTAGATTCCGTAAGATGTAACTAAGGCTAGTCGGCTAAGCGTCTGACAGACATGCTTAATTTGTTTTGATACGATTATCAGTTTTAACATTCCTTTTAATGCTGCTTTATTTTCTTCAGAAATGTATCCCCTTGATCCAATTTCTACGCACCATAGTGTACACTTATAACCTGAGCGTTTCAGGTTATTAACCAGGGGTGTGTACTTAGTAACCTTGTACCTATGGCTATATTCGTCATGTTATTCTCAAATGGAACTGTCAATTCAAAGATGAATATTTCTTTTTCATGTGGGCGAAAAAGGACCATGTCAGGGCGGTCTGATGTTGGTAGTATGTTTACGGGAATAGTACTTCTGTTACTTGTCATGCTACCTGGTAAATCGACGTTTACACGTATGCTCTCGTTTGATACCAGTTCAGATGATTGCACTATACTTGCCATATGTAGCTCAAAATACTATCATGCCGCCATGTATACCGGCCTTGAGTTAACATCGTTTGACAATGGTTTAATACATGATGTAGGGTTTGCGTATTATTGCAAAGATCACATTTGCCTGTTAGGCGCTTTCCCCAGCTTTGTAGATTTCGGATCGAATGTAGGGAGTGCATCGATGGAAGCCCTAACGGCAAAACTTAACACTCTTCTGGGAAGATTATATATTATGCTTTTCCATGATATATCGGCATTTTGTTCGTTTAACAGGTTTAGGTATTGCCCTTGAACCACCAGCGTTTGGGTTTTACTGACCCACTTCTTATCCCTTTCTTCCCTGACGTCGGATTTCACTGCCTTTCTCAACATTTTCCAATTGTTACCTGACATTGAACTAACGACCTTTTCTACAACGACGGCCGCTTCTACATTTCCATAGGATTTGTTACTATAACTTAACTCACGATCAAGTTTTTGTTCAACAGCAGCCTGGACCCTTGTGTCAGCTCTTGTAAGACCATGAGCTATGCTCATGCAGTGGCATTCAAAATATACCTGTGACAATTGGGGAATATCTAATCCACTTGGACTGTGGATTATTGCAGGCGTGGCTCCGCGTGGGGGAAATTCTAACCACTTTTTCACGTACCTGCTACTGAGAGCATCTAGTTTAAACAATTGAGTTTTGGTGAGGTCGTGTACCGTCAAGAGAAATTTAATAGATGACAAAATGTATTTATCATATATCTTGAGCTTAAGTTCTGGTCTCACAAGAGTTGACTGTACATTTTCAAGCATTATTCGAACCTTGTCATGGATAAGGTCATACGCCCCCTGAGATGTACCTTTAAAGGTAATGTATGAACCTAGAAATTTTTCTGGCGAGTCTTTAACATTGACAAGAACATTTCCATTGATTGTAAAATTCACATCCTTTGGTTTTCCACCCGAGATAGACATCGATTTACATTTGCTAATTTTAAGCTGAAAATTCATGCTCTCTGTAATTTGAGCAATTTCATTCAGGAGCTTTTGATGCTTTCTTTTATCCGTGGTTACCAGAATGAAATCGTCTGCATAGGGGAGTGTAATGTATTTGTGACCATTAAGCATATACCCATGCGTATTCTCGTACTGCTTTAATCGTTCTATAATTGGGTTAAACACCAAAATGAATAATATCGGGGAATAAGGATCACCTTGGAAAGTTCCTCTTGCAAAACGAAACTTATCCGATCTCCAATCCGGTCCTTGAACATAGCCTGAGAGACGGCTATATAGATTGGTCACGTAGTTGACTATAGGGGGCGGGATTCCGTTTCTCTCGAGGGTATGTAACATCATTTCGTGATTGACTGAACCGAATGCATCCGCTAAGTCAAAAAATGTTATATGCGCAGTCCGCTTGACATGGCGAGCATGCGCAATAATCTCCCGAAGACATAAAGTATGATCTACGCATCCGCTTATTCCAGGCAGGAATGCTTTCTGTGTTTCATTGTCAATAAGTTTATTTGCGATAAGATATTCAATAGTTCTATCAGCCAAAATTTGATGAAATAGCTTTGATACACATGATGTCAAGCTAATCATCCTAAAATGTGAAGGGTCGGTGGTATCCCCACCTTTATGAATCAATGATATTCTACAATGAGACCATGTTTCTGGTGGATCTCCGAAGTGGAGTTGCTTTGAGAACAGTGTTGCCAAGAAGTGGTGGGTTGATGGAAGCCTTCGAAGCAGTCCATACAGGATACCGTCATCACCAGGGCTGACTGTGGTTTCTTCTTCTTTAATAGCGATCTCAAATGTTTCGGCAATACAGGGCTGAGGTCAAACGGGGTAGGTCTGTCGGTCGGAATGAATGGGAACCAATTAAGCTTTGTAACATCCAGTGGCGTGCTGCTAGAATATTTCTGGGGATAATACTGATTGGCATACTCTGCCGAAAAAGAGGGACGTGCAGGATCTGTTGATAAATTCCCCTCTGCGGATTTCTTTGCAAAAGACCAAAAGTTGTCTTTGATCTGCTTCTCTTGGAAACTCGCCGATTTTCCTTCTCGTTTCTTTACTTCTAGTCGCTTTAGATGGCTAACTGCTTTAATTGCATCATTAAACGCCTTTCTGTCCTCTGCTGTTGCATTTCTCGAGAATGCTTTCTTTCGGAGGGCATTCTTCTTTTTTCGTGCTGCCGCTAGAGTCTTTGGTTCGTGAGATATATATTTATCAGATTGCTTATTTGAAATTTCTGGCACTGAATTGAGAAATTCTGTTAACACTTCCGAAAAAGTATCTCCCGCCTGTTTTGGGTTTATGAGTCCATTACAAAGATCAAAGTGTGCCGGTGCTATAGTAGTGACGATAAATCTTGATTGAGTTCACGCCATTGGTTTTCATGGATTGTAGGGATTGTAAATTGGCGGCCATTGATCCGGTGACATTACATAGCATATAATATGCCTAGTAAAGTCATGTAGTACAACATACTGAATGTCATCGCTCCACTGATTGTAAAGAATATATATCCGGCAAGTGACAATGGAGTTTAACGACGAATTGTATAGTTGGCGTGTGTCTACGGCGCAACGTACAATGTTAGGTCTATAGCCTATAGGCCCCATATATAACGTATATGTTTCGTACTCACTCTGTATTATAATTATGAAGTTGAAAATGTCGGAGTTCTTGCCTATTCACGATGGAAATCTCATCACAAACGAATAGAAGTGACAAATATTGCACACTGACATGACTTAAAGTGACAAAAGTGGAGGTAAAGTAATTTTAGTTTGATAGATGTCGATATGACTTTGAGAAAAGGAAATATAAAATGGTTTATATAAAATGATTATTATTCAAAATATGTTTTGTAAAAACAGAATTTTAATTTTAAGATACACAGGGTCGTGGTTTATATATATATGTGTTATGTAGAAATAATATATGTATATATATATAATAATGCGATATTTCAGCAAGGATAATTTATCAGTCGTTTATTGCACTAATCCAAATACGTTGTATACTTTTTTTCTTCCAATACAATAAAGATATTTTCCTTGGTTCACATATACCCCTCTCCTCTATTTATCTCTCCCACAATCTTAATCTCCGCTATTCTAAGCTTTTTGTATTTATAATCCTAGTGCCCCGCCCCCCCCCAATACTCTCTCCGACTCCATCCAAACTCCCTCTCTCCCGCCCATATCTTCTTTTCTCTCTCTCTCCCTCTCCTTCCTACTCATTGTGTGCGTCTCTCTCTCTCTCTCTCCCTCCTAGGGGCGGATCTAGCTTTTTGCTAAGGGGGGGGGGGGGGGTAACCGAAATACGATGTGGCGCATCGTCCACGAGCCGCATAGCAATTTTTTTGTTGTTCCTATTTTGAAGCCCCTTAAGTGATGTTTTCCTGGCATCTACTAATGTTGGGTCTGGACACATGATGGCATTTTTCTATGCACATCACATTTTCACTTGGCAGTCAAAGGGGGGGGGGGGTTAAACCCCTACCCCCCTGCTCCCTCACCCTTCCTTCCCTCATGTGCCTCTCTCTCTCCCTCCCTCTCCTCCCTACTCATTGTGTGTGTGTGTCTCTCCATCCCTCCCTCTCCCCCCTACTCATTGTGTGTGTGTGTCTCTCTCTCCCTCCCTCTCCTTCACCCTTCCTTCTCTACTCATGGTCACAAGTCATGTTCTACAATGTCGATCGCTTCTTTTTTTTTCTCCATTTCTGGGAACTTGTAATAATTGAGCCTTTGTTCCAATGACAAGACAAGCAAACACATTAACTTGATGTTCATCAAATTTAATAAAAGTCGTCTTCCAAAATCACTGGTGAAGATTCAATAATCTTCAATATGAAAAACAGCACATAACAAACATCATATTAATCTGTCCATAAGTTAAACATTTCAATAACCTACCCAAATGTGTGGCCGTGGTCTACTATCACATTAATTTCTATTAGTCTTTTAAGTTTTAAACCGATTTTCGGGACGGAAAGCAGTTGAAATAAAATACAAATCTTTAAATGCGAATAAATCGAAAAGTAGTTTTCGAGTCGATTTCTTGCGCGCTATTTCTTCTGCCAGCTGTGCGACGAGTTAAACGTTTTATTTGTCATAACTCTCTCACATACTATGGATATCTGTTGTTTTACCTTTGAACGTGAATGTCAAAACTATCTCCCTCAAGCGCTATGGATATCTGTTGTTTTACCTTTGAACGTAAATGTCAAAACTATCTCCCTCAAGCGCTATGGATATCTGTTGTTTTACCTTTGAACGTGAATGTCAAAACTATCTCCCTCAAGCGCTATGGATATCTGTTGTTTTACCTTTGAACGTAAATGTCAAAACTATCTCCCTCAAGCGCTATGGATATCTGTTGTTTTACCTTTGAACGTAAATGTCAAAACTATCTCCCTCAAGCGCTATGGATATCTGTTGTTTTACCTTTGAACGTGAATGTCAAAACTATCTCCCTCAAGCGCTATGGATATCTGTTGTTTTACCTTTGAACGTGAATGTCAAAACTATCTCCCTCAAGCGCTATGGATATCTGTTGTTTTACCTGTGAACGTGAATGTCAAAACTATCTCCCTCAAACACTATGGATATCTGTTTATTGACCTTTGAACGTGAATGTCAAAACTATCTCCCTCAAACACTATGGATATCTGTTTATTGACCTTTGAACGTGAATGTCAAAACTATATCTCTCAATACGCTATGGATATCTGTTTGACCTTTGAGCATGAATGTCAAAACCATATCTCTAAATACGCTATGATTGTCTCATTTGACTGGATAGCCTCCAAATCTTTACTTTGAAACAGTTGCATAATATTGCCACATAGCATGAATTAATATGTAGAAAAATATTGTCCTAATATGTTTGCAAAATGTGAAGACAATATTCATCTGAAGTAATAAAAGTTGATTAATAGTTACTTGGAAATGTACACATACATAGAAATACGTTACTTCATATCAGGCGCGTACGCAGGATTTTTTCAAGGGGGGGTTTCAACATTTATAAATAAGGTCAAAATTTTTCGCAACGACTCAGCCGACCGCTGAATAAGCGGGGGGGGGGGGGGGGGGGGGGGGTCTCGAAATTTGAAAATTTGACATTTTGCTCTGTTGGGGGGGGGGGGGTAAGGTCAGGTTATTTAGGTCAGCCATGGGAATTTTTTTTTTTTTTTTTTTTTTTTAATAAAAAAAAAATCCAAAAGGGGGGGGGGGGGGGGGTTTACTTACAAAAAAAAATACCAAAGGGGGGGGGGGGGGGGTTTAACCCCCAAACACCCCCCCCCCCTTTGTGTACGCGCCTGCTTCATATACCATTGAACAGAAATCATGAAAAACTGATAATTTCCATTATAATTATATCTACATATCTGAAAAACAGACAAACTGCTACAAGAGAAAACCAAACGTAATACTGCTACAAGAGAAAAAAAAGAGATAATCAAAGCGTAAAATGTCTACAAGCAAAAACCAAGCGTAACATTGCCAGAATAGAAAACCAAACTTAAAACTGCTACAAGAAAAAAACCAGCGTAAAACTGCTACAAAAGAAAACCCAGCGTAAAACTGCTACAAGAGAACACCAAACGTAAAATGCTACAAGAGAAAAAACAAGAGTTTAAGGGTTACAAGAGATGATCAAAGCGTAAAATGTCTACAAGCAAAAACCAAGCGTTAAATTGCCAAAAGAGAAAAAAAAAAAGTATAACGGCTACAAGAGAAAACCAAGTGTAAGACTGCTACAAGGGAAGCCTTCCTATTTGATGAACATTGAGCACCATTTTCCTTCATTGATTCTGTATTTCATTTACATTTCTTTTTGTGTTTACTTAATGTTGATGACTCACCATATGCCTTACCACATTGATCACATATAAATGGCTTCTCACCCGTATGCATGCGCATATGTTTCTTGAGATCACTAGCTTGATAACATGCCTTACCACATTGATCACATACATGTACATAGGGCCTCTCACCTGTATGGATACGTTTATGTTTCTTGAGATCACCAGCTTGAGTAAATGCCTTACCACATTGATCACATATAAATGGCTTCTCACCTGTATGGATACGTTTATGTGTTATGAGATTACTTTTATAACCAAAAACCTTACTGCATTGATCACATGCATAAGGTTTCTCACCTGTATGAATTCGTTTATGTTTTGTGAGATTATTCGTTTGATCAAATGCCTTGCCACATTGATCACATATAAATGGCTTCTCACCTGTATGGATACGTTTATGTGTTGTCAGAACATGAACTTGACTAAATGCCTTACCACACTGATCACATGCATAGGGCTTCTCACCTGTATGGATGCGTACATGTCTTGTGAGACCATGTTCTTGATTAAATGCCTTACCACATTGATCACATACAAAGGGCTTCTCACCTGTATGGTTGCGTACATGTCTTGTAAGATTACCTGCATTGTTAAATGCCTTACCACATTGATCACATGCATAGGGCTTCTCACCTGTATGGATGCGTACATGTCTTGTGAGATCACTAGCTTGATTAAATGCCTTACCACATTGATCACATACATAGGGGTTCTCACCTGTATGGATGCATTTACCTGTTCTGAGATCACCAGCTTCAAGTTGATTTAATGCCTTAATACCACATTGATCGCGCTTATAGGGTTTCTCACCAGTATGGATACGTTTATGTTTTGTGAGATCACCAGCTTGATCAAATGCCTTGCCACAGTGATTACATACATATTTTTTTTTAGTACTTCTGATTTCTCCTTTGATGAACTGTAGAATGTCTTTCTTTGGTGCACCTGCTGGCGGGACAATACCATAGTGTCCATGTTTGTACTTGAGATGCTTCGCTAAAACAAGAGGAATGGCATAGAGTGATCCACAGTACTCACATCTATAGACTCCAGAATCTATTGAGAATGACAAACAGGTTCACAATGTTATAATCATTTTAATGAAGTCATCTCCATCAGACTAATTCAAAGTTATGCAGACAATATTCATTACATGTGTTCGGATGGAATATACAGTAATTTGTTTTGAATGAGGTTGAAAATAACAACAAGAACTCTTTTATTTAGAATATTTTACATCACATTGACTGTGCATAAATATTGTCAACTTCTCACAATATCATTAAATATTATGTTTACTGATTTCATGAAACGTCACAAAAGGCAAAATATTATTCAAATTTAACAAAAACAAAAAGGGATTGTTATTTGATTGATGTTACATGCAGGGGCGTCGCTAGAGGGGGTGCCGGGGGTTGGAACACCCCCCCCCCCCCCTCCCATCAGGCATTTGTTGGTAAAATTGTGCTGCCGTCTGGTAAAATGAGAAAAGGGGAGGGAAAAAAATGAGAGAGAAAGAACAAGAAAAGAAAAGAAAAAAAAGAAAGGGAAAGAAAGGAAAAGATAGGAAAGAAAGAAAAAGATAGGAAAAGAAAGGAAAAAGAGAAGAGGAAAAAGAAAGAGAAAAAAGAGGCAAAAAAAAAAGGAAAAGAAAGAGAAGAATTAAAAGAAAGAAAGAAAAGAAAGAAACAAAAGAAAAGGAGAAAAGGAAAAAAAAGGAAAGAAAGAGAAAATGAGATGAAAAGAGAAATGAGACAAAAAGAAATGGGGGGATGAAAGAGAGGAAAGAGGGGGGGGGGGGTAAGAGAGAGAGAGAGGGGGGGGGGGGTTAAGAGAGAGAGGGGTTGTTGGGTGGAGTAATCTCGTCAAGGGAGCAAGAAAGATACGCATAGATATGTTGCTGTGTCGGGTCAGCTGTGTCACTATTCTCGCTCGATCCTCATGTACTATATCCAATGAATGCAGAAGTTTAAACTTAGCAAGATGTATAATGTCGGTAGGCCTGTGATGGCCTCTACAGGCCCCCCCCCCCCCCCCCCCCCCCACTGAAAAATTTCTAGCGACGCCCCTGGTTACATGGTTCATTAGAATACAAATTTATTACAAAGCTGTATGCTAACCATCAGGAACATGTTCTTTGTTGTAGGACTTGCGGCTCACTGCTCTCTTCGGGTATCTAGACTGTCTAGTGGCTGGTTGGGGTTTCTCCTTTCTCCTGTCTGAAATAAAAATATGCACAAATTGATTTAGTTTATTCCCAACTTGTCCTTATCAAAATGACTGAGATTTTCATCTTATAGTTTAATTGTTGCTGTTAACAGCCAACCCTGGCATGAATCCGTCTGTCCTATAACTTCACATATTAATTTGTCTTAAATAAGATTACAGTCGCTAACTTAACACATGCACGTGCACGCACCGACCGTCGGGACAGTATTGTGCTTCAGTTTGCTGTGAATCCCAAGAGAAAGTGCATATTATAAGTCTTTGTTTTTCGGAAAATACTCTGAAAAAGATAAGAAAATTGACACGAAACAGGTAAAAACATATCAACTTTTAAATCATGATCTTGATGAATATTAATTTCATTTTGGGTATGTTGGAGTAGGGTATCTCCATGCCGGAGTTTCGGGTCTAATTTTGGATAGACTTCTGAAGTGAACTTAAGGAGGCGAGTTGGCTCAGTCGGTTAAGCGTCCGTCTGTCGAACCAAAGATCCCGGGTTCGACTCCCACCCAGGTGGATGACTGAAGCCTGCGTTATGTGTTAACGTGCCCCTTCCCTTGTTCATAGATGCAGGTTATGTCAAGTGGAAAACACTCCGTCCCTCCCTCGGATAGGACGTTAAATGGAGGCCCTGTGTAGAAGATTCACTACCTTTGCACATTAAGAACCCCTGCACTATTCGTATAAGAGTAGGGGGAAACCTGGTGTAGTGGTCCACCTGCACATACCCCCAGTATAGTACGATAATACTCTGTAAAGAGGTCTGTACTCAAAAAGGAGTATCTTTTGAAACATCGGTGAGCCTTGAAATTTGAAATGTGCTCTTCTGAGTAGGTCTAGTTGATTTTTTTAAATTATCCAACCATAATGGTGAAAGACAATCCAAAAGGGAAAATCGAAAAATCATTCAGCGCTAGAGGTCAATACGCATTAGCATAATAATAGCATCGACAGTGCGTTAATCTTCATTTCATGAAGCCTGCACTTTTCAGGAAGAAGAAGTCCCTATGCTTTACTGGAGTGGTTTAATATATAAGCAATTATCAATAGTAATAGTAATACATGTACAACAACCAGTACAAGCCAACTCACACATCTTCTAACCTTAACATAAAACAGGAGATTTGCTCCAGACCAAAGATAAAGTTGGAGATTCATTCTACACTAGCTAGTACTAGACTAACAATCGTAAGATAAGCTTTGAAAAACCTTGAAACAGTTCAATTTCATGGTCATGCATTGCATGACGTTCATAACTAGACAGGCCTGAGAGCTCGAGAGTGTGTGGCTTTGCACTGGGAAAAAGTCTAAAAAGCCAGATTTTGACATTTATATTCTGCGCGAAATCGGATCAAATAACAGGCGCTCATCATTTTGTCAGCGGCAAGTCTTGAATCGTTTGCACACAGTGACAGTCACACATCCTGGCTGTGTATTATAAAGCTGTGCTATTGTCGATTCTCAACTTCCCGATCAGCCGCATCGGCATTATTGTGTGCATTTCTGTGTTGTGAGTGTTTTGACTATTCATGTATTCAAATACTGACACGGTATACGTAGTGCAGTGCTAAAGGTCAATACGCCATTAAAAAAAATAATATAATTAATTCTTAGGTAGTCACAAATATCTATTCATCATGTTTTATACGGCTCAGAGGGGACCCTACAGTCCTAATAAATAGCGATACTGGTGAATGAGATAAGATAAGATAAGATAAGATAAGATTTTATTCGTCTTTCTTTCAAATGACATACAGAGCATAACATTGGATCATAACACATTTACAGTGCAAAATAACAAATTATTGCAATGATAAAAACAAAGTTAACTAAAAGAAAGACGAGGAGACCCTGGTAAAAGCAGAGCTTGTAATTATTAGGGTCCCCTCTGAGCCGTATAAAACATGATGAATAGATATTTGTGACTACCTAAGAATTAATTATATTATTAAAAAAAAAATATTTTTAGTTTTCTTTACTGACAACTAAATTTTCTTATACAAGTGATCTGAAAATATGGCAAATATATTTAGTATGCTGCTCGTATGTGTGCCATGTGAACGCACGCCATAAAACTCCTACAGGAACAACAACAGTGACATTGCATTGGGCGAGAGGTAGCTGCATGCTGTGTATAAAGCCAAGAGATCTCGAAGTTTTCATCGGGCCGCGGCTGGGTACGTACGCAGAGCTGAGCCTCTGCTAAAATGTTCGAGAGAAGCCAGAAAAAACACAAATTATGCACGAAAATTTCAGGTATGTTCAAATTATTATCGTTAACAACCACACATCATATTTTACATCATTGAAAGCCGAAAACTCCCATTTTATAGTCAGTCTAAGCACTCCAGCAAAGCATTTGGAGAGTCAATGCTAATGGCGTATTGACCTTTAGTACTGCACTATACGTTACTAGAAGATTTACAACTTCGTATCTCTGCTTTTGAATGAAGCTCCGACGCCAATCCCTTACACGCCAATCCCTTACACGCCAAATTTGAGCCCAACTGAACTTGAGATCATCACACAACAATCTGATATGAGCTTGTTTATGATATCTTGTCTAATAAACTTCTTCATAAGATTTACGATGATTATATTACTTTGAATTGTTCCATTCGTAATTACAATACTACAATAATTGCTCAAATATATCCACCTCTGCAACCACCTACTATCAACTTAACTCAGAATTGAATTTTTTGTTTACAAAGGACCAGTGATTATTTGGAATAGGCCTAGCTAGATCTATATAACCTCCCAACTATAATCTCAAGAATAAGTAAGTCAGATCAAACCGTTTAGCTAAGCAACTTATAAATGATGAATATTTTGTTGATGTCAAATTCTTTTCTTTTCTTCCTTATCAACGTTTTAATATTGTTTATTTTGATGTTTTTCTTTTATTATTTTTTGATATTGTTTTCTTTAATTTTGTAAAGGGGGGGGGGGGGGGGTGGGGCACAACATAATTTCCTTACAGAGATGCTGTCAATTAAACACTTCCACTAAAGGGTCATCACCTCAAAGAGGATGGGGGCTGGGGGGGGGGGGGGTGAGGAGTTCGGAGGCACATGTGCTATATTGCTGAATCGCGCCAACACAAAATCCTCCTTTGAAAACACTATGGGCATGCGGAATCGGATTTCGGAATTAGAAATTGAATTCCTGTTACTCATCATTTGTATGTGATTCAGTTCAGGTTTCATAATTATATTCTTTTTGGTTAACAAATACAAACAATTTTTAGTCCTTATTGCTTTTTTTT